GTAGTTTGTACCTTGATCGCATATGTCGCCGCTTCGCTATAGCAATGTGGCTCTCATGCCCGCTCATGGGATGCAGATCCATTGGTGCGAGACTATGGAAGAGACAGTACGAGAGGTGGGGGAGGGCGCCATTTGTAGGCCCGGAGAGGAACAGAGAGCGAGGGGGGACGCCAAGCCATGTAGGACCAAGGCTGTATCGCAGCTTAATTTCGGTTCCTCTGGAGGCGTTCTTGGGTCCCTTGTGTTTGGGTATCCGGTTTATGCTTCCCTCGGCTGGGATTGAAGCAATTCGGACCCTTCCTGTGGCACAGCGGTCTTACAGCATATATCTCTTCTCTTTATTTTTGCCCTCCTTCCTGAAAAACAACCTTTACTGGTTGCAAAGAACTATAACTCGGCCAGTTCACCCCAGAGTACCTGATGGACGTGGCGGCGGTGCGGTTTGTACTTCCAGCTTGACGCCGCTTGCGTCGTCCGAGTTCACGCCGCATTGCATGGGGTCAGGCTTGCTCAGCGGAGGCCCGAGGACCGAGATATGCCTCCAGCAGGCCAGGCGGCCGCAGTGGTTTCCAACGACCGAGTCTGAGGAGAAAAGAGGGGTCGGTTAGTAGATGGAAAAGCAGAAGGCGGGGGTTTGCATGCCGAGGAGGAATGGGAAGGGAGAGAGAAGGGCCACCGACTGAGGTTCAAAGTCGTGTCTTGGAGATTGTGGTGAGAGTCTGAGCATCGGCATCGGAGGATATCAGGGTCAGTCCAGGTCGTGAAGCAGTGCGTGCAGGAGTCGGAGAAATTGCCGCTGCGTAGAGCCATCCTGGTTAGTCAACTATCTCCCTCCCTCCGTAGATACGACCTGGAGGCAATAAATCATAGATAGGTAGGTAGGGTAGGTATATACTTCTCCCAACCGACGAGGTTGCCGTGCGCGTCAACTCCGACACACGCGTTCAGGTCCACGGCCGAGAGGTAGAAGGAGCGGCACCACGAGCACGCCTCCCTACATGGGGCCCTGAGTGTGGTTCCGCCCTCGAGCCACGGAGTCGCGCACTTCTGACGGAAGTTGGAGAATCCGCCGGCCCCGGCGGCTGCGGCTACGGCAGCGACGAGGCCGGGGAGAATGCCTAGCATGGAGAGTAGAATGGCGACCATCTCCTAGAACGAGCACATTTGCAGCTCTCTTGCTAGGTGGCCGAGGTTTGACGTTTATGAGAATGAAACAGAGGGTGGTAAATTGAAGAGTGATGAGGAAGGAGCAGGATGGAAGGCTGAGAGAAAGTTGAGAGAAATTTGGGTGGAACTTGGAAGGGAGATTCTGTATTTCTGCATGGCAGGAGGGACCCAGACACTCCCGTCCTGAACTGTGTCGAGAATGAATACCTAGGTACCAAGGTACCTGTTCAGATGAACAGACGATTCCCATCCGCTAATCAAATGCAGGGACAAGGAGAGAGGCGTTCGGCTATGTGTCTTCACGGGTGGCTGCATTTTGCCCAACATCAATAACTTGAGCACTGCCCAGAGCGTCCTTTCACAGCTTCCAAGTTTCCCAAATTGCTGCTACACTATCCAGTACACCGCCTTTTCACGTGGCAGCCACCCGGAGCATATGTACCTTTTCTTGCCGTCCAAATCCAAGTCCTCAACCAGAAGGAACATTGTCCATTGCTGGCTTTCCCCCTCGAGATTAATCCTTCTCCTAGTCTACGCCATGGTGGTGGCAAATACCGTCCTCAGCTTGGCCATGGCCCTTCTCCATGTTGGATGGGCCATCGGTGCCGGATTCCTCGACCAAGGTTGCAGTTCACTCTTCTTCGTCCAGAGAGGAGTTTTGATAGCCACGTGCGACGATAAGATCTGCGGCAATAAGGTCGACTCCCACCTCGATCTGAACAACTGGTAAGCTTCCAACCACATATCTGCGTCCAGGGGCTATATATGATGCTAACAATATTCGTTTGCCCAGTATCCTGAACCAAAATGGCAACATGTATTTCAACAAATCGTATGTCTGTCCCAAGCCTCGGGGCAGGCCGGCATGCTAACCGCGCAAGGGGCAACTTCTACGACACTTGCAAGGACTGCTACATTGCGGGCAGCTCGCATCTGACCTGCACATGTTTCAACAACGTACAGGACGAGTATATCGGCCTGGTAGATCTCAGTGAGCTCCGTCCTCCCTCCCCCTACTTCCACTCTCCCTACCCACTCTCCCTACCCATCGTAAACTGACTCCCCTCGGCCCGTACAGACAACGGAGTCATCACCAACTACTACGGCTATGTCAACTGCTTCAACACCTTCTCCACTCTCCCGGCCCACAACTGGCCCTGCAAGGGGAAGGACTGGACACCTTGGCAGCGCAATGCGGGTTTGGGCCTTGGCAATGATACTGCCACGAATGCCGCGAATGGGACGGTGGCCTTGCCGAAGCAGCCCGTTACCAGTTTCAACGAGTCTGCTGCAGATACCCCCAACAACAGTACCCACAACTACTGAGGAAGGCTTGCGGGTCAGGCGAACAAATGTTGATATGGTATATTGGTCTTCAAGGGATGCTTGGTTTCGCGGTGGGAATTTCGTGGATTCAGGGGCTGGAATGAAGATGATTGGCACCTCGCTCGTTCTTATTATCCTGACATGAATGTGTTTTCTGTCATCTGACAACAATACCCATTTCAAATACGCCCAGAAGAAAGTTATATCTATCAATCGTCTGCCCAGAGAACCAATCTTAGTGCCTTGCAACGCCAAGTCTGATATCCCTCCCATCCCTCGCAAGCGCTAAACCAGGCTACTCCAGACACCCAAAACTCCTCACCACTCGGCCACTGCCGTCAAGAGCCTTGAGCTCTGTCCAACCATGAAGCTGTACTTCCCTCCAACCACCATCCTCCAGTTCTGATCCACCACATCCCAGTAACTCAGATCCCTCCTCGTCACATTAAACTCAACCGCCACCGTCTCCCCAGGCCCGAGGTACACCTTCTCGAACCCACGCAGCACCTTGACAGGGAAGTCGACAGCCGGGCCCTCGCCCTCGGGCAGGCGCGGATACCCCACATACAGCTGCGCCACGACCTTACCCGCTCGCCCGCCCGTGTTGGTCACGTCGGCGCGGACCGTCGCGTACGTCTCCCACAGATCCGGGTTCCCACCCTCGCCGCCGCCCGCGCCGGACGGCGCGTGCGGGTTGGCCGGGTCGTATCTCTCCGGGTAGGGATACCCCGCCGACCCGAGGCCGTCGCCGCCGCCGCTGGTCTTGTGGTCGTCGTGGTCGCCCTTCTCCAGGTACGGGTACACGTACCCGTCTAGGCGGCGGATGTCGGCCGGGAAGACGGCCTCGCGGGCGTCGGGGATGCGGTCGTCGAACTTGGGCGGGTGCGCCGCCGGAGGCGGGCGCGGGGCCGGGAGGGCGGACTTTGCGCGCAAGGGTTGGACGGCCGCGTTGGCGACGGTGAAGGTCGTGTAGCTCAGGCCGAAGCCGAACTCGAAGCGCGGGGCGACGTCGCGCTTGTCGAAGTGCCGGTAGTCGATGTAGAGGCCCTCGGTGAAGTCCTGCTGCGGGACGGCGCCGTTGGGGATGTACATGACCTTGGCGCCGGGGCCGTAGTCGTCGAGGGTCTTGCCGATAGTGTAGGGGAGCCTGCCGGACGGGTTGACGTCGCCGAAAAGGACGTCGGCGAGGGCGTTGCCCGACTCTTGCCCGGGGAGGTTGGCGAGCAGGACGGCCTTGACGTTGGGCAGGTCGATCCACCGCTCCATCACGACGGGGCCGACAGAGTGTATCACCACCACCACGTCGCCGCGGCCTCTACCGCAGCCGCCAGCCACCGCGGCGATGAGATCGTCGCCGCTCTTCTGCAAGAAGAGGTCGTTGCGGTCGCCCTTGACGCCCGACGCCGTGAGGAAGCCCTCGCCCGAGTCGGCGTTGGCGAACACGATGCACACGTCCAGGGAATCGAAGACGGCCCTGTCCTTGCCTAACGGCGGGTTGTCGACGAGGTACTCGTGCACCTCAACTTCGGACGCGTCGAACCCGCCGCGCAGTGCCTCCGCCGGCGTGACCAGGTAGGGAAACTCGACAGCCCCCGACCCCCAGCCCGAGGCCAGCGTGCCCTGGTTGCAGCCGCGGTCTTTGCAAAAGTTCGCACCCCTGCCCGGCCCGGCATCCTCCCCGATGATCGCTACCTTCAGCTTGCGGCCCGGTTGACGCTTCCCGACGACCCGCTCCCTAATCTCGCGGCGGAGTTTGTCCTCGGCGAACCCCTTCCGCGGGAGGGGCAGGGCGCCTCCGTCGTTCTTGAGCAGGACGATCCCCTCGGCGGCGACTTGGCGGGCCACGGAGGAGTGGTTGCCCTGGACGTTGACGAACTTGTTGACCTCGACGACATCCTGCGGCGACTTGCTACCGGGGACCATGACGCCCATCTTCTCATCGGTCCAGGACGAGAAATTGGGCGGCTTCCGCGGCCACGCGGCCTCGTCGTCCTGCCCGAGCTGGTACCAGGCGGCGACGATACGGGTGACCATGTCGTTGAGGCGGGAGACGGGCACGGAGCCGTTGAGGACGGACCTGGTCAGCTCGGGGCCCCAGAGCGACTTGCCGTCGGCCCAGCGCAGGCCGTCGCCGGGCATGGTCATGTCGAGCCCCGCGAGGGCGGAGGCGACGCCGGAGCGGTGGGCGAGCCAGTCGGACATGACGAAGCCCTGGAAGCCGAGCTCGTCCTTGAGCACGCCGTTGAGCAGCTTGGAGTTGCCGCACGAGTACGAGTTGTTGACCTGGTTGTACGAGCACATGACGCTGGCGACGCCGGCCTTCACGGCGTCGCCAAAGGGCCAGGCGTACAGCTCGTGCAGGGCCCGGTCCCCGATGTTGGATGATACGGCGTGCGGAAGCCCCCACTCCCAGGCTTGCCGGAAGTGCTCCTGCTCGTTGGCGATGTAGTGCTTGATGGTCGCCATGACGCCCTCGCTCTGGATGCCCCTGACCGTCTCGGCGGCCGCGACGCCGGACAGGTACGGGTCCGCGCCAAACCCCTCCCAGTTCCGTCCGCCCGCGGGCATACGGCCGAGCGGGCCGACGCAGGGCCCCAGCAGCACGTTGACGCCCTTGTTGCGGGCCTCGTTGCCATGCGCGGCGCCCCGCGCGTACATGAGCTCGCGGTTCCACGTCGCCCCGACGGTGACGCCCGCGGGGAACGCCGTGGCGCCGTCGGCGAACCGGATCCCCAGCGGGCCGTCCTGGAGCTGCAGCTGGGGGAAGCCGACGAGGGTGGCCGGGCCCGTCGTGCCGACCGCGAGTCCCATCATCCAGCCCGTCCCCGTCGTCACGTTGACCTTCTCCGCCAGCGTCATGCGCGACACCATGTCGCCCGCCTTGCGGTAGCTCTCGGCCCACGAGGCCGCGGTCCCGCCCAGCGGCGTGGGATACCACGGCGGGGACTGGCCCTGCGGCGGCTCCTCGGTGTATTTCCGGTATACGAACGCGCCGCCCGCGCCCAGGAGCAGCCAGACGAGACCCACGGTGACGAGCGCGCAGATGCAGCACCGGCTGCGGCCCGCGAACGGCCGGCGGAGGGACCACCGGCGCCGGCGGTGTAGGCCCGTCAGGAATGCGGGTTTGGCATCGTTGGCGGAACCGCCGCCGCCGGAGGGTGTAGTCAGGTAGTCGGTGGCGTCGAGGTCGGAGTCGGAGTCGTGGTCGTGGTCGTGGGCATCGTAGGGTCGGCGGGACCGGCTCACTTCCTCGTGGTCCTCGTAGGGCTTCCGGTGCTTGTGGCCCGGGTTAAGGAGACCCTCTTTGCTTGGATCCATGCTCGTCGGCCTCGAAGAGGGTGCAGCAGAGCGCTGATGTTGTGATTCGGGGATGAACGGTGTTTTAGAGGCCTCGGATATGGTGGCTGCAGCGTTGGGTAACAACTAGCTGAGAGTACTACGTAGTAAAGTCAAGTTACGTGTCTTGCCGTTGTGAAGTGTCGGGTCACACCGCTGGTGCTCTTCATTGGCCTGTTCCTCTTGAGGAGGGCGCCCAATGAGGTTGGATGGGACGTCTTCTTGCGAGCAAATAATTTGATCGAAAAGATTAGATGGCACGCGGGAGCAAAAGACGCTGCGAGTTGACAAGCTGGATCCAGATAGGAGAAAAGTGGTGGCAATCCAGCATGTCGTCGGGCGTTGAAACAGCCTCCCACCTGGCGACTTCGGCATGGCCCGAGCTCCGGCTTGGCGTGGGGGTCTTCGTCATACTGACAGCAATCCGCTTTCGTCTATGGAGTATCTGTGCAGAGACATCAATGTTGGAGATGCGACAGACCTTTTTCGACCCAACTGACCTAAAAAAACAACCTATTTATCAGGAAATGGCATAACGCTAGTGTCCATCTCTTCCTGAGCGAAGCTTTAGTCATGAGTAGGTACGCTTGCTTGGGAGATCGGGCCAGCTCAATGACGAAGGTGATGTGCCGTGCCTTTGTCGAACTTGTTATTTCTTGTCAGATCATTGCTCCAGCTCTAGTTGTGAGCTTGACCTGCGCTTGATCCGTAATTGTCTCTTTTTATGACCATCCGAACTTGGCAGCCCATTCTACTCCACACCAATGAGCCCTACCTGTAACTAACTCGTCTTCACCGGGGCTATGCCGTGTATCTTACGGCCGTCCGGGTGGGGCCGGTACGTTGCGTGCTGCGTTAACCGCGAATGTCTCAATCGAGGACCTCACCAGTATTTTCACCGATGGTGAGCGGGCGCTTTGCGTGGCTATTCACTACCTACCTATTGCTATTGCTATTGCTATTGCTATTGCTATTGCTATTGCTATTGCTATTGCTATTGCTATTGCTATTGCTAGCGATGGCAATGGCAATAGACAGTGACAGCAAGAGTGATGGACAGCGACGGCAAGAGCGATGGATACCCTGTCAACAAGCAGCTGGGGTAAAGCTGCAATGGAGTACTTAGACCTCCTGACGCTGCATTACAGTGCGATCATGAATTTCAATCGCACAACATCCACGAAAAGCGAGCAGGCCCCAGACAGGCATCTGCTATCATCACAAAGGCCAACTTCCGCACAGTCGAGGTGCTACCAACATACCAGGACCGGTCCATGCCGTCTGTCCGGTCGTTGTTGTCCAACTTTAGGTTGTCCAGCGGGAAAATGCTTGCCAAGAACGAACTAGACTGCATCCTGGCTTGGATTGCGCAAAAGTCTGATAAGCTTGATTTTACCTCGTTCGCCGGAACCTACCACTGCGAGACCGTCATGTTTTCCCTCCAGCTCCTAGCACGAGACCGGGTCAACATGACCACAACCAGCGCGGCAGAGAGAGGAGTCCTCCTCCCCGACAAGGAGGTTGTCAACGAGTTTGTGAAGGACATCACCATCCTGCCAGTGACCAAGCGCTGCTGCCCAGCCTGCCACATACTCCTCAATTACGTCTCAGATCTGACTCTCAAGGCTATAAGGTACCCTGGCAGTCATCCGCACTGGTCGAGCTGCTCGCTGCCTCCCTGGATTACCAAGGATGCCGGCGAGCACATGCTTAGACAAGCTAGCGATGTGCTGCAACATCGTCTGATGCGTATTCCTGAACTTGTCAGGAAGGAGCAGAGTTAGGGTTCGAACTCTTCCAATAACGAGAGTCCCCGGACCTCAAATCACGACGAGTCTAAGGCATATGATGATAGCGTGGAAGGGGATGGTTTCGAATAAGGAGTTACCAATTATCATTGTTATTAACCATTGCTGCCGCTAAATACCTCTTGCCGCCGTGATGACTTTTAATTAGGTACCTGCAACCAGGCGCAGTATTTTTATGCTGTCATGATTACTGTTGCTGTCAATGTCTATTGCTGTTGCCGTCACTCTTACTGTGATTGCTATCACCGCCTCAATCGATTACGCACCGGATGCCTTCAGTCCTTGCAGCAGCGAGCCTGCTGCCGCAGCGGCTGCCGCCAGCAGGTCGATCCTCGAATGACCACGCGCGTTGGGTTGGAGCCATTAGAGCTGTCGGCGTTGCGATCTTGTCGACTTTGCCCTCCCCTCTCTCCTTTGGCTACGCCGCTCACCCTGCACTAACCTTTCCGCAAACCTGTAATTAGGGCACCACCATACGACCAACCAGGAGCAAACAGAACCGAACTCGTCAGCTTGTAGGGAGCGAGACTGGTGCTACGACGCCCTCTATTGATCTAAATGTATGTCGGGACGCAAATATCTTCCTTCCCTCCAACGGCGCGACACAGCCTCCTCCTCCTCCTCCGCCTCGAAACCGCCTTCAAACCCTTCCGACAAATTGGAAAATGCCTCAACGCCGTTTTCGCGAGCCGAAGATAATCCGCTTGTCCAAGGTCCAAGGTCTAGGGAACTTCACAAGGTTATTGTGATTGGCCATCCTAAAGCAAGTCGTGCCCTGACAGACTACTGGTCGCTGTTTTAACCAACGGCTCCTTGTCGAGTTGCAGCCTCCTCTTGTCGCGCGAACATCTATTGCAATCGGGCTTCTCGTGGATGTCGAACTTGCCGGAGCTGTAGGGACCTCGCCTGTCAAATACCAAGACCTCTATCTTGGTTCCATGCAGGAAAAATTCATGCGCAAACCGACAGGTTGGCCGGCCGGTAAACAGATCACGTTGAGTTCTCTGGCAATAGTTCCACCATGTCGCTCAGAGTCCCTGTCAAGGGTGCAAAGGAAGTGTGACAACGGGAAGAGAAATGTTTCCGCAGGCGGAAATTGCAGGTCACGTCTGGCGATCTGGAATGAGAGCCGGAACGGACCGTCGGCGATAACCACTACCTAGGCCGAAGGCCCGCACGGGCCAGTCAGCATTATTCTTTGGCCCTCGGCTTTCAACCACGGAGTTTCAAGTCTCGTCCGAACACGACGACTTCCCAAACAACGACTCTCCTTTCCGGATTTCCGTCCGGCTTGACCATTCCCCCGGTCCCCCTCCTACCGGGCCTCCCCTGCTCAACAACCCACCCACCATGGCTGGCGCACTCGCCCCCGAGATCCTCGAAGCCTACGATGCCGTCCGCTCCGACAAGGACGGCACCAACTGGCTCCTCATCGGCGACGACCCCGCGGTCCGCAACAGGCTGGTCCTGTCGGGCACGGGCTCGGGCGGCCTGTCGGAACTCGTGGCGCGGCTGGAGGACGGGCTCGTGCAGTACGCGTACGTACGCGTCGAGTACGCCAACGACTCGGAGAGCACGCGCGTCAAGTTCGCCCTCGTCTCGTGGATCGGCGCCGACGTCAGGCCGCTGCGCCGCGGGAGGGTCCTCTCCGAGAGGGGGCAGGTCACCAAGGTGCTCTCCCACTACAGCATAGAGGTCGACGCGGGCTCGAAGGCGGACCTCGTCGAGGCGGATATCGTCGCGAGGCTGAGGAAGGCGGGCGGGGCGGATTACAATGGTGGCCGGGGCTGAGGTTTTGGCTTGGCTTGGCTTGGCTTGGCTTGATGTCGGGCGAGGATCTTGTGAGGAGAGAGTGTGGAGGAGGAGGAGGGGCTGCATGGAGGGGTTTGCATGGATCCCGGGCAAGACAAGGCGGTGTACTACTTTGGATATCTAGGTGTTGTTGACATCATTGGTTGTGGCCTCTTCTTTGACCAAATATCTGGCTCAGGCTCCTTCATTCCGACTCCCCATCTTAGGGCTGCAAGTGACGCTCTGGCGTTAGTTTTTCCCGGCCAGGTTCAATGGCGATATCACAGCCTGGCCCATTGGCTGAAGTTTACACCATTTTGTACTGCGCCTGGGAGTGGAGAAGACAATTCGTTGGGGAATAGGTAGGACTTGTGACAGGAATTGCGTCTTTGGATTGGATGTCTGAGAACAGTCGGTCGGTCCTCTGCATAACCTCCCCCGCATGCATGTCTCAGGGGACTTCTAAAGTCGAGCTCTCGGACCTCCGGCGTATATTTCAAACTCCCATCCCCCAGGCTGTCTCCAACTTCCAACATTCCACGAAGTAACCCGAGAAGTCAACCCAATCATATCATCAATCCCTTTCTCCCACTCCAGAACCAAACACCAACCCTACCCGCTACTACCAAGCACAATGTCAATGTCCACCACCACCAACCTCCGCCCCCCAACAGAAAACCAGCTCTCGGCCTCCCTGCCTGGCCCAATCGTCTACCTGACAGGCCACGACCCCTCCTCCGGCGACGCCATCGTGCACTCCCGCCGGCCCGCCAAGTGGACCCGGCACGACGGCGACCAGCTTAACATGTCGGTGGCCTACACGACGTCCCGCTTCCCGGCCGACCTCAACGGCGACGCCGACGTGGCCGAGCACGACGCCCGCGTCGCCGGGCTGGGGCTCGTGTCGCGCGGCGGCACGGTGCTGCGCATCGTGGACTTTGCCCCGGGTTACGAGTGCATGATGCACCGGACGCAGAGCGTCGACTTCGGGATCGTGGTGGAGGGGGAGATCACGAGCGTGCTGGGCAATGGTGAGGGGAGGGCGACGGGGGAGGAGGAGGTGCTGCGGAGGGGGGATATCATGGTCCAGAGGGCGACGATGCATGCGTGGAGGAACGATAGTAGGACCGAGTGGGCGAGGATGGTCTTCTGTCTGCAGGACTGCGCGCCGCTCGTTGTCGCGGGGAAGAGGATGGGGGAGGATCTAGGTAGGGGCACCGATGGGGTGCCGCCTTCGGGGAATGATGGGTAGGGGGAATAGATACTACTACCTAAGCGTATGGCTACTACTTGGCTACGGTCGTCGGGATCATAAATGGCGAAGTGACAAATAAGGGGTTCAGAGGCGGCTGATAGGAACAATTGGACGGCTGACTCCTCATTTTATATGTTCACTGGGGGCCTTCAGTCACTGGCTCGCTCGCTCGCTCGCTCATCCATTTCATGTTTGCACGTAGACACAACAAGGGAGAGCAAAACACAGACACACACACACACACACACATGCACGCACTCTCTCTATCCCTCCTCTGCCGACGGCGGCGACTTCTCAAAGCTCTTCATGGGCTCCAAGCCCCAGCGGCCGAACAGGGCGGCGTCCTCGTCCCAGCCGTTGCACTCGGTGGTGAGCATCTTCTCGCCCGTGAAGATGGCGTTGGCGCCGGCCATGAAGCACATGGCCTGCTGCTCCTCGGCCATGGTCTTGCGGCCGGCGGCGATGCGGATGATGGTGGCGGGCATGACGAGGCGAGCGGCGGCGATGGTGCGCAGCATGCTCGTGAACTCGACGGGCTTCCTGTCGCCGAGCGGCGTCCCCTTGATGGGCACGAGCGCGTTGACGGGGAAGCTCTCCGGGTGCGAGGGCAGGTTCGAGACGGTGTACAGCAGCCCGATACGGTCCTCGGAAGACTCGCCGAGCCCCAGGATGCCGCCCGAGCAGACGTTGATGCCGGCGTCGCGCACGTGGGCCAGCGTCTGCAGGCGCTCGTCGTAGGTGCGGGTCGAGATGACGGACGGGTAGAACTCGCGGCTCGTGTCGACGTTGTGGTTGTAGGCCGTCAGGCCGGCGTCCTTGAGCTCGCGGGCCTGGGCGGCGTCGATCATGCCCAGCGTCACGCACACCTCCATGCCCATGGCCCGCACCCCGGTCACCATCTCCTTGACGTTGCGCAGGCTCGTCCGCCGCCCCCGCATGTCCCGCCACGCCGCCCCCATGCAGAACCGCGTGCTGCCCTTCTCCCTGGCCGTGCGCGCAGCCGCGAGCACGGATTCCACCGTCTCCACCCGCCGGGCCTCGACACCCGTGCCCTTCTGGTACCGCGTCGACTGCGCACAGTAGGAACAGTCCTCGGTGCAGCCGCCCGTTTTGATGTTCATGAGAGTGCAGAGCTGGACCTCAGCCGGGTTGTGGAACCGTCGATGGACGTTAGCCTGGCCAGGGGGTTCCTCATTGTTAGTTTTGACCACCTTGTTTTGTCCAAAAGCGGGAGTCTAGCACCACTCACGGCTTGGTATGTGAGCTCCAGCAGGGGCTGGTAGTAGATGGCAGCGATCTCTTGCCTCGTCCAATTGTGCCTCGGGGCAGTGGCTTCAGCGGCCTCGCGCAGGATCCGCCGCGCATTCTGTTGCCGGTCGCCATCCTGGGGCGTTTCCTGCTGTTGCACTGGTCGAGGTTGTCGAGGTGGATGAAGAGGGGAAGCTGGTGGTGGGGGCGGGGTCGATGGTAGCTGGCCAATTCTCCGGTCTGATTCGATCACAGTTGACATGCGTGCCCGTCCGACAGCTGTAAGGATTGGACGGGAGAGAGTGAGCCTAGAAGTAGCAGCAGCTGCTGCCCTTGCTGTGGCCTCCATGGTGAATCCGTGTGATGTGTAGGTAATTATGCGTTGTTTTCTTGAAGAGATGTCGCATTGGTAAACGGATTGATTTTGTTGGGCAGTTGACTCACGGTCCGTGCCGCCGATGTGGGGTCGGGTTCTGTCGGCATTGGTAGCTTTACTGACAAATGTGTAATTAGCGGCAATAGCGATTGACAGCGACGTCAACAGCGATAGACAGCGATGGCAACAACAATGGCGACAGCAAGGGTGATGGCAACGGTGATGGGGATGGTGATGGCGATAGTAGTAGCAAATTTCCCAGGTGCGCGCAGCAAAACCTACGTTTTATCACTCTGAACACTCTATTTCCCACTGGCAGATGTGGATATATGAATAAAATTGCCAAACACCCCTGAATTTATACATCAAACACCAAGAACTGCAGCTGCAGTCCTAGCCCAAAATCCAATCCGCATCTGCATCACAGTTTGTATCGCCGACGCCGGCGTCACGCTTTTTGTTCTGGTGATGGGATTGACAAATAAAGTGGGGCGTGGCACAGATACAGCTGGTGAGCCAGTACCATAACCGCCGTTTACGGATTACCAGTTGCCCTGGTCCAAGCTTTTAGACCCTTCGCGGGGCGCGAGCCAAAGGCCCCTGACATGTGCCTTCCTCGATACACCTATATAACTACCTAGTAGAGCTCCCAAGTATAAAAATCCTGGCGAAAGGCGAGGATAATACGTCAAAGACCAGAGACTTTTGCTCATTAGCAGACTCAGGGGCTGGCAAAACAAAGTCTCGTGGTCTTCCTCTCCAGCTTCGACATATCCTCTTCTTCTATCTTTCCTTTTCACTTCAACAGAGACCAGAGTTAAGTCGGCTTATGCCAGTTCGTTACATATATCTCCGATCAATATCTATCCACTGCCACGATTTTGAACTACACACCTACTCCATACTCCTCCGCATCTTGTGCAATTTGAAATAGATTAACAGGTGGTTGAAGCAGGTACGACAACCTAGCCATATCGCACGTCAAAACACGTCCGTCCAGCGCCTCGCAGTGCTGACACAAGCTACCCACTTAGAGCGACACTCTTGACGATGGGAAGCTGTCTATCGATCGTGGATGACATGCAGGCTGAATCAAGTCATGCTCATATATCCCGGGACATGCAGAAATTCAACAGGTTTATCGAGTTTGCCGCTCCTGCTGGAAAATTGGTCCATGTCACCGCCCTCCTGGATACGCAATGCCACAGAGGCAACTGGATCTCCAAGCGTTTGGTCCAGCGACTCGGAATGGCATCCTTGATCTGCCCTAGCTTTGAGTCACTCAACATGGTTGACGCAAACGGACGGCCTGTCAGCGCCGGTGGGGTAATCACCCTCACCTGGAGGTGGTTTCCCAAAGGAACTCGAAGCTACGAATCCCAGTTCTACGTCTTGCCAAACTCGGATCATCTGGACGTCATTTTCGGGGTAGAATATATCGAGGCCGAGAATCTACTTCACGTGAACGAGTCGGCTATGCTCCCACTCGTGGAGGACAATAGGTTGGACAGAGGTACGATGGCTCTCATAATTTTTGCGTCTGATCGACATTTAGTTTCACGTGTCTCACTCACAAGTCTCAGGCGATATGGCTGCTATTGCTGCCGCTGAGGCGAGGCAAAGACAAGAGAAGGCGACGCTGGAGGAACGCAAGAAACAACAAGCCAAGGAAAAAGGATTGGCATCAGGGAAACCACGCTCAGGGGGAGCAGCATCAGGATGTTTGAGATAGAGACACAGAGTAGGGCTTTCTCCAGAGCTATCCACCGAAACTAGGACGACGGCACCGAGCCTGTACTGCCAACGAAGACGACTTGTACGGCAGCGAATCTAATACCGTTAATTAGTTGACACTAGCTGAGTATAAATGAGAAATGTGGGAGACCTACGCAGCAGCGGCGGAAAAGACCTCGACCATTCTTCCATTTGTAAGCAGGCCCAGCCCTAGTGAGAAGATAGTGGTGAAGATTCCAATGATGGTGAGTCGTATGTTCATGCTGCTCACCAAGTATAGCACAACGATCGACCCCACGAGCAAGAGCGAGGCAATAACAGTGCCCACCACCGCACTGAGGCGCGCGATGCCCTCCTGAGAATAGTGGACGGTGTTGCCGTGTATGTCTGACGAATCTGGCGTCTTGGTCAGGTTTAGCACATCCGATTCGCTCCGTGAAGGAAACCTTCTAGCAGTACCCTGAAGAGGTGCCCGATCAGATGATGATACCATCGGACCAGACGGTCTGTAAAGAACGAAGTGCCCCAACTATCGCTATTTCTTGGCCGAAGGCAGACCAGCTCCGCAGAATCGAAGTTCTCCCAGGCGTCGCTGTCAGCGCCTAGCAGGTAAACGTTCCCCATAGATGGTGCTTTCATCCAGGTCTGGAGAAACGAGAAGTCTTGTTTGTTGGGCGGTCCGATCTTCGCAATCATGTGTTGGAAATACAACGCCTGGTCTGTTTTGCGAGGCTGTCAGCCGGCGATTCAGATATTGGGCGGTCCGGCCTCACATGGTACTCACTGTATTCGCTCAGCTTGTCCCTCACTCGCAACATGAGGTTCCACTGCTCCGGGTTACCATCCTCGGCCATCACCGATTCGCTGAGAGTCTGCCAGTCCCTGGCGTAGATGGACCTTTCAAAGTGTCCTGACTCGGTATCTTCTTTCGCCTGCTTATGCAGACCATTCTCTAGGTCTGTCAACTCAGCTTGCAGATAAAGTAAGTTGAGCGCATTCAATGATCCGAATCGACGAACGATTGCCGTTTCAGGATGGGCGCCCATTAGAGACGCGAGCCGAGAGTAACCTGCAGGCATGACTATGGGATCTTTTGCCCCCCCGTTGAAGTAACAATATGATAAGGAGATGATTTTTTTACTAACCTCAAGCCCAAAAGCAAATGTTTAACAGAGGCAGGTTGGCAAGGTGGCAAGGCTTTTAATGCCTAAATCAATGCTAAGGATACTTACTGCCCGACGAGTACGTGTAACGATAGGTACTGTGCCTTGAGAAACGGAAGGGCTTTCAAGCCAGCCCCGGAGGCCCAAAATCCACGTAAGTTTAGGGCCAGGAGAGGCATCTCTCGCAGTTTCAGCAACTATTCAAACGGTTATCTCACGTATGTGCTTAGCCAATATTCAGGGTTCCATTTTTGGTGCTGGTATTGGGCTGTAGTCTTGGAGGCGGGAGAAGGCTGTGTCACGGCTGTGGCTAATTCGCTGCGATAATAATTAGGCCACCGTTTTCTCCATGGCCAACGAACAAGAAAATACTCCAACATACCTGCAATCGCATGCGCCTGTTGATTCATCGCCTGTGCTGTCACTGCTCACTACCTAGTCAATTACTTGAATATGCAGAGTTCGATGGAGTAAAAGACTTATATTGATTGACCTTGGCTTGGCGAGGGCCGGCGCCATTGTCTCGAGGATCGGGTTGGAGTCTGACTCACAAAGACTCAAAGAGGGTCATTTGTAACGACACAAGAACAGGAGAACCAAGAGCCAGATAAATATAACATTAGACAAAGAGTCTTACCCAGGCTAGAAAAAGTATGAGTGCACTTGGCAAGAAACATGAACCTAGAGAATGGGTATAAAATACCCTTGACTCGGAACCCATCGCTCAGAAGTTGGAAACCCATATCTTCATCACCCACAATTGACCCAATACTCCCAACAAGAAAATCAAGTCAAATCAGATCATAATGCGTCTGTACCAAGTCGTCCTGCTGCTGGTGGCCGCCTCTGTCGACGCCGCAGTTCCTCTCCCAGCCGGCAACGACGACGAGGTGCGCAAGATGTCGCCTGATGCCGGGCATTGGGACATCGGCCACAAGTCCAACGGCAAGGGCCCAATTAAGACGGACGCAGAGTTCGACCACTAATCGCTGTTGACGGTCCCTTTTGGCGCCAAAGTCGGGCGCCTGGTGCGCCACTGGGATGGGTATGTGGCTGGAATCTGAGCTACTGTTGTTCCTACTAGAAAGGGGGGGGAGAGATGGTAATGAGGTAGAGATAATTAAAGTCCCAGTATGGGTCTTCATACGACTCTCTCTCTTTGTCCGCATTCTGAGGCTCTCCGTTCCAACGAGGAGTAGAGAAGATGAGATATCGTTATATAGAACCAAACACTTGACTCTGGACTCTAAATACCTCTCTCAGCGCTACTAATTTTTCTATAATTATACGTTGAACTACTTGCACCCTCTCAAAGACTTATCCTGCTGCTGCAAGCTCATATGGGTGTGGATATTCATGCCTGGTTCTATTGAGTTGGTATCCTATCAAGATGCCTTCGTCCCCAAGGCACGCAGGAGTCCTATCAAATGTTATGTTGTGATAATAAACCCTGTACGTCATAATCCACGGAGCGCGCACATTCCGCTTCTAGCGTAATCCTCTGATGCAGGCTAGTCCAGATAGAGTAAGCAGCAGCGTGACGGCACGTGCGATCGTGGCGGTGTACGTTGCACATGAAATGAAATCAAGGGATGACAGAGTACTAGCGAAACTTGCCTCGCAGAACGGAAATTGGTACAAAATTTGTGGAATACTCGGTCAGTTCTCTTTCGATGCCAACAATTTACAGTTCGAATTTTGCCTTGGGGTTAGTAGGAGGGAAGCAGGAGGGGTGGAAGCAGGCAGTACCATTGACTTGGTGAGATCGTGCAGTCCCCTGCGGAACTAGCGAATGAAACCCTAGTAGAGGTGGGGCTCAGACCAGGGGCGACGTTTGTTCTCCTGAAGCTGAAGGGGCAAAACGGAGCGGACAGTATCCTGACCCGACTCCGTGGTCGTGATAGAACAGCCAACCACGGCAACAAGCAACCTAGTTATATGTCATCATAGATAGCGGGAGATAGGGTGGGTGCCCAACGTTAAGAGGCTGCAGTGTCTCCAACTAGTTGGGAATTGGGGAGGGAGCCGAGGCTGATTCCCCATTCATCAGGCAAACCGTATGGGGCTCCCGTGGCTGTCGGGGTTCGGATGGCTAGAAACTCCGCAAGTGCAGATTGCTCTCCCCGTCGGGCTGATAGGTGCAGTAGGTACGTACGTCAGATCAATTAGCGTAGGGCAGGCAAGTTCGCGCGAGTCGGGGTTCTGACGGCTTGTATCGAACTTCTTTTGGGCTGAAACCCCCACCAAGCCTTGGACCCTGTTTCAAGGTCTTGGGAATAGGGAATGTGAAGCAAAAAAGTGCTGAATATAGACCTTTTCCTTTCGCCTGGGCACAGGGAGTACTTGTTTCGTTCCTGTTGAAATGTACTTGTCCGTGCATTATTCTGCTGCTGGGGACATGGTTCCTGCACTGATGGATTGTACTTCTGGCTTGGCGCGTTGCCAAGACCGGGAAAATGGTGAAGGGTATCCGCGATTCCCGAGAATTATGGGTCGCAGGCAAAATGACTCGCTGGCAGACCGTTGGGAGCCGTCTCGTCTAAGCCTGGCTCTAGTCTTGATTTGGTGCTGATTGTACTGATTTTCCTTCGCTTCCCTCTCCCACTGGTCCGTTTTGCACAAGGAAACAAGAAGGGGGCGGCATGGACCCGCTCTTTGTCGCGTGCCCCCTAGGCGCAAGGTATTCCTCATATACTCCGTATCTGGCATTTGGGCCTGCCCTGGCATCTCTGGTACGCGCACTATTTTCTTGAGTCTGGAATGGGATGGTTTTGCTGTCGTGTCCCGTTGCCCGCCACGTCTCCGACAGCCTGAACGATTCCCCGAACACCCCCCGAGCCGCCGTTCCGTACCAGAAGTCTTCGTCCGGCACCCAAAAATGTCGCTCGGAGCCATTCTTGAGCCCCTGGTGGTCGTGAGCCTGCTGGCCGGCGGTGCCCTTGTGAACCGCAACACCAGCTACAACCTCGCCACCGGCGCCAGCCCCGTGTGGCAGCAGACTGGCAGGAGATCCTCGTCGTCCCGGAGGAGAGTCGACAATCCAGCCAGCCCTCGCGACCTCGAAACCGGAAAGTCGCCGGCCGAAGGCGATGTGCTCGGCCTGGGTGCCTGGACCTGGTCGTCCAACAGCTCGACGTCGTCCCTGACCGATCTCACCGACGACGACCAAGACCCCACTACGCGGCTGCGGACGCTGCGCTTCTTCGGATGGAAGCGCACCGTCAGGACCCCCAACACGGAGGTCTTCAGGGACCGGTTGCTGAGCCGGGTGCTCCGCCGGTTCCCCTTCCTCGTCGAGACCTGGTACTGGGCGCTTATCTACTGGGTAAGGGCTTCTTCAGGGCTTCTTCCTTCCTTACTTCCCCCAGCCTCGCCATGAGGATGCTGACAACAAAACTTGCAGGTCTATCAGCTCGGTCGTGCCTTTACCGCCCTTACCCTCGACGACGGGACCGTCGATGTCGCCAGAAAGCATGCCCTCCAAGTCATCCACCTCGAGCAGCGCCTCCACATATTTCTCGAACTGCCCGTGCAAGCGTGGTTCCTGAAACACCCGTTCATTATGCTATGGACGAATAGGATCTACTCCTTCATTCATATCCCTGGAACGATCCTCTTCCTCATCATCCTCTTCTACCTCACGACAACCCGGCCCACCCGCAAGCTGCAACAGGCGCAATCTGAGGGCGTGTCGCCGACACGATGGAGTGCCGTTCTCGGCCGATTCGGCCCCCATATCTACGAGAAGCGGCGGAGGACCATGGCCATGTGCAACCTCATTGCCTTCATCGTCTTCACCTTCTGGCCATGCATGCCCCCACGCCTTTTGTCCGACCCGGAGTATAACGGCGAGCACGCTGAAGAGTCTAAGGGCTATGGGTTCGTCGACACGGTCCATGGAGCCGATGGTGAGAGCAGTGTCTGGACCTCGAATCGTTTCTGCAACCAATATGGTAAGTCACAGCATATCTATCTCTATCTCTCTATTTGCATCAGCATCAATGAGCCTCCGCTAACAAGACCCTCCAGCGGCCATGCCCTCTCTGCACTTCGGCTACTCGTTCCTCATCGGCCTCACCATCGCGACCGCGCCCGTCCGAGGACGGATGTGGAAGCGGCTCGCCATCATCTGCACAGGCATGATCTACCCGGCCATCATCCTCGCCGCCATCGTCGCCACAGCGAACCACTTCATCCTCGACGCGGTCGCCGGCGCGCTCGTCTGCGTGACGGCATGGTACGGCAACGGCTTCCTGCTCAACCTCCTCCCGGTCGAGGACTACTTCCTGTGGGTCCTGAGGATGCACAAGCCCGAGAAGACCTCCCTCGACGGGAAGGGTCCCCAGCTTCGCATTTGAGGGGAAGGAGATAAAGGAACCTGCTGCTGTTCCTTCCCCAGTGCTAATGGCCGTGGCAAGGCAAGACAAGACAATAGACCTTCATGGGCGGGGCGGCTCTTGATTGTCATGGAAGATACCGGGAAACGACGACTCGTTCTTCGCTTTTTCTTCTCTCACATCCGTTTTATCTAATACTCATTTTATCGGTGTTGGATGTCGTAACATTATTCTGTACATAGATGGACCTGGCTCTTGCCGACGGCGACATGATCACAAGATACATAGCACTTAATATCAAATTCAACGCAGTCGTTCGTTGTCTGTCTTAATTTGTTCCTCCCGCTCTCTCCATCTTTTCGCCCTCCCCACCCGTCGTGCCTCGTTCTCACATTTGAGAGGCGGCGTGGATGGTTCGCCGGTTCAACAGCATATACTAAATATCCATTGTCCAACACCTCGACAGAGGGTGTGGAAGGAATGGCACCATCTGGCAGATCTGAGACCCGGTCGGCTTGTAACCTTGCGACGTAGTAGGTAGAGATCGAACTAGCTCCTTACAACCACTTGACATTTGAAGCTGTTCTTTCTCCGTCCCCGATGACGACGGGAGTACGGAGTATGTCCAAGCTTAGTTTAACATTACACCCACAGATCGTCCTCCCAGAACGCCATTTTTGCCTCGGTGCCTGCCACTCGGGAGGTATTGTTTCAGCTGCGCGACTCGCAGTGTAGTGCATACACCGCTACTGGTAAGTGGTGTGGGGAATCGCGAAAAACCTTGCTTCTCCAACTAACAAGGCCGAGTTCCGAGTGCCAGGGCGAAAGCACGTTCGTTTTCGCTCGCTTTCAGGTTTCAAGTTTGGAAAGGACTCCTTTTCTGAACGAATAAACAAAAAGATGCAGTGGCCCCTGAGTTTTCTGCAAGATCAAATACCGAATTCCAAGCTCGCCGGGCTCTCAATTGAATTCCCCCCCTCGACGCATTGGCTTCGAAACACACCGCCGATCATCGCCCGTTATAGAATGCCAAGAGACGGGTCAGATTATTTGATTCGTCCCGCGGTTTGATGACGTAGAGGTTGGTGGCGGTGCCGAATCTCCACATTTGCTAAGCATGCATCCAATCATAGCGGAGCACCCTTCCCGTCCTTGAAAACGGTTCTGTTGTCCACCGTAATCAATACGTCAGCATGATGGTTACATCTTTCATTCATTGAGCTCCACGTGGCTACCATGGTCGAAGAGTTCCACGCAACCGCCAGCGGTCCGAGGCGATTTAAGAGACTACAAGAGACTATTCGACCTTGCCTCTGTCGGACTCGGAAAAGTCTATTCCCCAGATGCCCCTGGATGAACCCTGATGCCCCCAGATTATCTTTAGCGATTGCCAAGAGTCGACACTGGTGTAGATTCTGCGTCCCAAGGTGACTGGACAGTGACAAGACAATGCATTCAGCGCAAGGCCGAAGCTGGATAAAAGTTGCATCTCACGGTCGACTCGGTAATCTGTACAGTAGGCAAGGTAAAACACATGGCGATGACGTTTTAACACTTTCAACGGTTGATGTAGACCCCACATCTGATCCAATCAACTGCAGGTAATGGTCCAAGAACCAGCTCCTCTAATGACTTCCGTCGACGATGCCGTAGACAATGCATTGGGCAAGGATGACGGAAACACGACAGCTATCAGGACGGTCTGAACGGAGGCTCCTTCGGGGCCTACCGGACCCCAACCTCCCAGCCCGGCTCTCCATGCCCAAGCTCAACGGCTGGGACATGTTTGAGCTCAGCATGCGCGACATCCAAGACCACTACTCCAAGCACCATTTCTCCGCCGCCGAGTACGTCGCATACTGCATCGAGTACATCCGGGTGGGTCAATCCATATCTCCACGCCGTCATCGGGATCAACCCGGAAGCCGGGGCCATCGCCTCGCGGCTCGCGAGCCTCGGGCAAGGTTCGCGGCCCGCTCCACGGCATCCCGGCGCTGGTCGAGGACAACATCGCCACCAGGGACTCGACGGCTGGCGCGTGTGCGGGAGCAGATGCGCGGGGAAGGCATTGACGCGGCGCTGAGCTCGGGCGGCGGTGAAAGGGGGCTGGACGCCCTCCTCCTGTGCGACTGCAAGGGCCTTGGGCAGCACTACGCCGCGCAGGCGGGGTATCCTGTCGTGTGCATCCCCGTCGGCCTAGACGCAGACGGGTTTTCCCGGTGGGACTGTCGCTGCAGCGCACGGCGTGGCGGGAGGCGGGGCTGGTCGGGTGGGTGGGCGGGCGCGATCGAGGACCCTGTGGAACCGCGAGGTTGGGTGGAGGCTCACCCACGCCTGGGTTTAAGAACTTGGGGGCCGGAGAATATCCCTATCGAGAAGGTTGGGACGAAGGGCGGCGGGGAGTTGCCTCTGTCGACAGGACCCCGGCGGTGCCTACGCCGGCAACGGGGCTGGGGTTGCCGAATATGTCGGTGCAGGGTCGGGAATGGAAAGTCGGTGCCGAACTATTATGCGAGGTCCCGTCCTTGGCGATAGCGAAGGGGGCGGACAATCTGCCGAGGCCTGGGTCGTAGACCTAGTGGGCCGATGTGGGAAGAGGTGGATCGAATACAATCGACCCACTAGCATGTTGAAAACCCAACTAACCATAAATGCGAGAACAGAAGCTTCGCTGATTGGATCTGCACCGGTCGGGTTGAGCTTGATAAGTCTCCTCATCAAATCCGGCGTATCCGTTCATTGGTATTGAGGAGGGCGCCTGCCCCTTGGCTATTAACCCCTGCCGATCCATTGCGCTGGCCGTCGGCATGTGATTGTGAATTTGCGAAGACCCCTATCTCAAACCACGTTGATCGATCCACTGCAAAAACGGACCAAAGACGGTCCCGATGCACCCGCGGCGGTGCAGTTTGCCTGCCTGTCCCTCCAAGGCCCTAGCACAGAAACCATTTGGATCACGGGAACGGGCAGCAGTCGGGAGCCGGGGCAGGGGACAATCCGTGCATAATGGTCACACGCGTAAGGACTAGCTGGGCAAGACAGCGAATACAACGGAGCAGTAATATTTCGAGCCAGCATGTGGTGAAGCAATCAATGCCTATTTCCTTCAGTCTATCCTTAGTCTATCCCCATATGATACCAAAAAACCCAGATCTCGAGAGCGAGAACAGATATGCTATGACCAGCCAATGCGGGTAATTAACTACCCCATGATGCACCTTCCCGATGATTTACAACAGAGCGACGAACCCGGCGAGGAGGGCCAGACCGCCATAAGTGGCTGCCGAGAACATCCGGGCGCCCGAACCAGCCTCGGAGCTCGGGGTTGCGGATGGGCTGGAGGTGGTGCCGGAGCCGGAGCCTGATCCGGAACCAGAGCCAGAGCCAGAGCCAGAGCCAGAGCCAGAGCCGGATCCTGCGGAACCAGAACCTCCCGTCGCGCTAGCGGTGCTGGAAGGCGAAGATGCGGTCGCCGAGGGTGTGTCAAAGGTGGTCGGGCAGGTCAGGTTGAACAGGGGCTTGGTGGAGAGGTTCTTGGTGATGGCAAACTTCATCTCGTTGTCGGGGTTGGAGTCGCGGAGGTTGTACCAGAAGGTGGGGGTCTTGCCGAACAGCTTGCGGCAGCCGACCTCGTCCCAGTAGTACTTTGCGTTCTCGACGCTGGCGACGGCCTCGTCCCAGTCGGGGCCGACGTACGGCCAGCCCGTCTCGGTGACCCAGACGGGCTTGCCGCCGACGGCCGCCACGGTGGCGTCGTAGGCGCGGTCGAAGAGCGTGCCGGCGTTCTTGATGCTGTTGCCCTTGCCGTTCTCGTAGTAGGGGTACTCGTCCACGCCGACGAAGTCGACGGCGTCGAGCACGGGCTTGTTGGTCGCGTTGGGCCAGACGTCCCACGTGTCGACGTGACCGACGGGGATCTTGGCGAGGGCGGTGTCGGCGAAGGACTTGCGGAAGTCGCCGATGAAGCCGACCAGGGCGTCGGGCGAGTTGCCCACGCCGGCCTTGTTCGCTACGCCCGTCGCCGAGACGCGGTACAGGTCCTCGCTGCCGATGGAGATGCCAATGACGAGGTTGGTCAAGTCCTTGCCGTACTGCTTCACCGCCTTCTTCAGCGCGCTGATCTCATTGTCGATGTTGTCCGTGCCCGACGCCCACACGCCGAGGAGCACCGACGTGTTGGTCTCGATGGCCGCCTCGAAAGCCTCGATCGGGTCATCCTTCGAGTATGCCTGGATGTTGGTGTACAGTCGCACGGCGTTGAATGTGCCCGGCGCGCCTTCCAGGCCCTGTGCCGTGACGAACTCGGCCTTGAAGTCGGACTTGAACTTGGCGGACCGATCCGCCTTTGTTGATCCCGAGTTGAAGCCCAGGTAATTTTGGGCAGATACGCCGACGGCGAGGGCGCTCGCGGCTAGAGCTGATGAGGGACGCATGGTTGATGGTTGACTATAACGGATTCCAAGTTGAACGAGGAAAATGTGTACCTTGCGGGGAAAGTCGCTGCCGTCTTCGTAATCGGCAAACAACGGCGAGATCACTGCAGAAAGTTGTGGCACGCCTGTGGGAGGCTGATGGTAACGAGTGTGTTTTAAAAGAAAGGAATGTGGTAATGTAATAGATTGCCACGGGGCAGAAGGAATGGCAGGTTTAAAGAATGTCGGAGTCCAGGGAGGACAAACCAGGAAAACGTGAGGTTTTAAAGGTGGACGTTGGGGACGAGGAATGACGGATGGTTGGAGAGTTCGCGAAATTAGGGAGGCCCCTGGTAGGAGCGCGCCGTGGCACGTGCGGGATACGAGGGGGTTGTTCACTGACAGGGGTAATCACGTGTGGGCTAGAATATGGTGATGGTCTCCACCCACTGACGAGCTAGACGCATAATTCACTTACCCAACCCCTTTATAGCATTCCAGCTATGAATCCGTCACCAAACCATGAGTCCGTCACAAAACCATCCTCTGCATCGTCACTTTCCTCATTCATTTTTGTCACCTTTCTCCAAGTCCTTTCACTCAGGGCGGCGGAACAGGTGCAATTCACACCCTCTGCGTCAGAATTGTTGCGCATGGTTGGCCAATGTGAGGCTGACTAGGTATGGTATCACTTTAACAATATCCTGTCTGCCGTTCTCATTCCGTAGAGCGGTTGCTTCCACCAAAAACTGCCAGCGTGGACGATATCTCCCAGATCACCAGCACTCCGATCTTCCAATTCCGTGCCGCAGGCGAAAGCGTGTGACTGAAGCCGGCACACCACAAGAAATCTGCCACCTCCTCCACAGCAGCCGGCAGGTTCTCGCCATCTTCGACCAGCTCGTAGACAAGCGCAATGTACTCCTTTCTGGATGACATCGACCTCTGGATCTTGCCGACCTTCATAGACGGCGGCCTCAGGCTCAGAGGAAGTGTTGGGAACACGCTGCCACTGAGCCTCAGCCAGCCGTGGCACTGCACCATGCGTAGGATCGACGATATAAGCCTAGTCCCATCCATAGTCTCAAGATTCTCTACAGACTTCTGTGCCAGGCGGCTCTCGTCGGAATATGGGTAGAAATTGCTCAGGGCGTCTTCCTTGGTTTCCGGGGCGTTGTAAATCAGAACCGGCCCAGACGCCACGGCTGCCGCCATCTTCTGGAGGACGGCGGCGTTGTGGCACTCCTGCTGTGGCGCGTAGTAATGATAGAATTCGGGCGGGGCTGCGTCCCAGAACTGGAGAAGACGGTTGAGCGATGAGTGAAGGCGATCTTGCGGAGGAATGTAATTCCCAGTTATCGGCGCGGGCAATTCACTCACCACCTTCAAAGCAAAGGGTCCCGCGTCCCCAAAATAGACCTTCCAGACGTAGCCGTCAAGCCCGCCATCAATCCTTTCTTTGAACACTAGGGTGGCTGGATCGAGGGCGAAGCGTCGATGTCGCAGTGTCTGCAAGTCCCTACCTGTGCAGCCAGGCGGCCCTATCATCGGCTGGTCGTCGAGAAACGGCACCTCCAAAGCTCGCAGCCAAGGTTTATTGACCTGGGGCGACTTGAGCGGTCGTGGAATGCTGCCTAGTACGGATATTTGGGACCAATAGGGGGCCAGACTGAGGTAGCGCTGCAGACGACTGCAGTGCTGCCTACCAACAACCAACATCCTATTATCGTGTTTCTCCCTCTTCTCACAAACAATATTCCCAAACGCCATTCCCAAGCTGGGCGGACATTTTGTCCATTCGACGGGTATTCAACACTGCGGCTGGTTATATTATGCACTCTCGAACCTGACAGCCAGGCATCCGTTGTCGGAGGGAGTCTACTACTGTTAGAATCGGCAATTGATATAAACATAAGTTTCAGTCGTAGAGTAGCTGTTTGACATGTTATTGAACATGTTTTTGCAAGATTTGAATGGTAAGTTGGTCCCAATATCGCACTTGATTTTGATGAAAATCGAACCGAAAGCAAGCCTCGGTTGTATGATTTTGGTTTGGTTTGAGACAAGCAAACCCTCACTCCTGATATAGCTTATCGCTCTGATTAACAGGAGGACTGAAGCTGACTTACTTCACCCTGTTTTAATTACCTTTGGTTGCATTTACCTGAGTTGGCTGGCAGGAGGGGCCCCGGGGGAGTGCAACTGCGCAAGTGGAACCCCCAACACAATATGCTGTAATTGATAGGCACCCATTAATCCGTAAACACAAGAAGAATGGGGCAGTGTGCATGCCTTCGGATCCTTACCTAATCCAAAGTTGCATTCATCCTGGCCGAATCCTCCGAATCCTTCCTCGTGTTTCGCAATCTCAACTTCATTCCCGAATTTCTCATCATTGATTTGAAGCCATGGCCGGTCTGCTGCTCAAGATTGGCCTATCCGTCGTCGTCTTGCTGGCCATTGCCTTCCAAGTCCTCCTGAAGGACCTGGTCTGGCTCGGCTTCGGCTTCGGGAAGCATATACAGCTGCTGTCCGACTTCCCTTATGAGTGCCGCCGCATTCACGACCCGCGACTGCAGGCATGTGAGGATATGTGGCTGTCGGAGAAGACGCGTGTGCTGTATCTGGCGTGCTCAGACTCGATTGCTAGGAACCACTGGCTGCCCAAGTAAGGCCTGCAATATGCAGCTGTGACCCGTGCCTACGACTAGAGCCGTGCTGACATATTCCGCCAGCAACCACAAGTTCAACCTGACAGGCCGTTCTCAGAGAGATGCCATCGTCGCCCTCCACATTGACTCACCCTCGGGCAACTCATTCAAGTATCGTGCTCTGCAGACACCAGGATATACCGGCACCGCTGGCGACGGACTGCTCGACCTTGTTGGCCTTACTGGCATCGATGTCCATGTAGAAGGCGAAGACAGGGTTGAGCTGCTGCTCGTTAACAATCGCCCCTCGCTTGATCCAGATACTGGCATGCCATTCCCGGATCAGTCCGCCGTGGGAGGCAACGCTACCATTGAGCTGTTTGAGGTCCGCAGTTCCGAGGCAGAGGAAATGAACCATTTCCATACGTGGGCGGACGGGGCCATCACCACGCCGAACAACATTGCTGTGGTCAGCAGCAGCAAGGAATTCTACATGACGAACGATCACGGTTCGAACAAAGTTGGACTAGTACGTTCATCTCTACTTATCTTTCTCCAAGGGGCATTTCGGGAAGAAGCGTCGATTCCAGAGCTGACGTGCGGCCTTTCCTGCCTTCAGAAATCTCATATAGGCGCCCTATTAGGCAGCGGAGACGTTGTCTTCTGCTCACTTGGCAAGGGCTGCAACCGCGTCTCAAAGGACCACAAGTTCCCCAACGGCCTATGTCAGCACGGCGGGCTCGTCTACGTCCCGAGCTCGGCAATGGGCGGCGTGCAGGTATTCCGCATCAAGGAAGACAACGGGCTCGAGAAGATCGAGGACATCTCCATCGACTACGGCCTCGATAACCTCTCCGTCGATGCCGACGGAGACATCTACGCCGCTGTGTTCCCGAAGGGGATCGAGATCTTCAAGGCCTTTTTTGACCCCTTCAATGCCAGGCCGCCGTCCACCGTGCTGCGCATCCGGAAGGGAGATGACGGCCGCCACTCGTGGGAGAAGATCCTGGAGGATGCGAATGGCGAGGTCTTGCCTGGTACGACGACGGCGGTGCATGACGCGAAGACGGGGAGATTGTTCTTGAGCAGTAAGTTGGCCTGGCACGAGTTAGACCCTAAGGATCGGTAAAGTACTGACCATTGCAGGTGTTATTTCGCCGTTTATTACGGTATGTGAGCCTCGCTCCTGAGGACTGCGATGAGTGTATCGTGGCGCAAGATGCACATCTAAGTCCCCGGCAGGTAACACTCCTCGACCTGCTAGGGTCCCGGTACATGTGTTGTTAGGATTAGGTTTGGTGCGGCAACCTAAGACTTCCACGCTAGGTCACTTAATAATTATCGTATACTATAGACTTATGGGGTTCTTACTCTAAGGAGGTGACACCCGGATCGCCAGGTTGATACTCGTCATGTGGGTTTGAACTACATCGAATATACCACCATTGTTGATACATGCATACTTTTTTTGTCTTTTGAAAGGACGCAGAGGCTCGTACTTATGTGCCTATCTGCCCTTGCAGGGTTGTCGTTGGACAGGTCTGGCAAACTTGCTTCGGCCAAGCTCCTTACCCACATCGCTGCCGTCACTACCCGCGCAAGCCGCCCGGAGTGGTTTGTGAAGGCCGTCTATCCTGTCAATCTGTCATATATCGCAGAAGGATGGACGCGTGCCTGGACGTGTCGGGCAATTCGTACGCCGATTTTGTGCTGGTAGCGTAGTATCGATTATTCGTGGGTGCGGACACAGCTTGACTTGGACAGCGCATCCTCACTACTAAGCCGCTAACAGGGCATGGCCCGCCAATCATGCTGCCCCGGGGAGCCGGGACTGCCAGATGTTGCAGTCGCGCCGGGCCGTTGAACCCCCACCACCCCACTAATAAGACGCTCTACGGTTGCGTGTCAATACCTTGGCAAGAAATAATGAAGCCCACTAACAGAGTTAAAGAGGACGCCAGAACCTCTCCTAGGAGTCCCATCCGAGGTGCAATCGCAAGACCTGTCCCCTCTCACGCGTTTCCCGTTCACCATGACTGACCAGGCCAAACTCGAGAGTGCGGGAGAGACTGCGCGGGAGACTGTGACTGGCGATAATAATCCCGGGACTTCGCCTGAGAGAACCCCAGACACAGCAGCTGTGGACAACCATGAGCAGTCTAATCCAGCAACTACAACGGGCATCCTCGGTCCTCAACACTGGGCACAGATCGCAGAAGTGAGCAAGGCCCCTCCCTTCCCATCATTTCTTCCACTTGACGATACCCAACTGCCTTTGACTGTGCTAAACCATGTTATTTCCAGGAGAATCCATTTGACGACAACGACGCTGACTCTGCCTTGGGAGACGATGCGGCAAGCTCGACTGCCTCAATCACCTCTACCATTCTCAATTATAGGACAATCCACGGCAGGACTTATCACAGCGACAGGGGCAATGCCCAATACTGGTAGCTTCCCCCTTGTTGGATCCGGTCCCCAAGCATTATGTTGAGGGCTGACTCTAGACTGAAGGGCCTCTAATGACGGGCCGCAAAACGAGGCAATGGATATCATGTAAGTATAATGAGAAGGCACAGGAGGGGAGGAATTATGTACTAATACTGCGACTAATTAGCCATCATTCCTTAACGCTCTCAACAGACGGCAAGCTTCATTTGGCGCCATTGAAGAAAGATATCAAGGTATTCCCCTTCTTCTAAACTATCTCACACTATTCTTTAAATGCAAGCTGATTCCCGGATTGCAGAATGCAATCGACATTGGAACTGGGACAGGTGAGTGCAGACACGAAGGTTAAGATTTAGCAAAGAGCATTAATTGTTTTGCTAATTTACTCTGCTCTGCAGGAATCTGGGCTATGTAGGTCATTCTACTTTACTTTGGAATTTCACAAAAAAAGCTGACGGTGCTTGTAGCGACTTTGCCGACGAGTACCCCAATACTACAGTAATTGGTACTGACATATCGCCCATTCAACCAAGCTGGGTGCCGCCAAACCTAACGTTGTAAGTGAGCCCCCCCTTCTATCTCATCTCTTCCTCAAGTCTGATCTCCGCCTAGTGAGATCGAAGACTGCACAATGCCCTGGACCTTCAGGCCAGAGACAGCCGACTACATCCACATGCGGTGGCTTGTTGGTAGTGTGGCAGACTGGACTGCCCTCTTTAAAGAGGCCTACAAGACCCTCGAGCCCGGCGGCTACCTTGAGAGCTGCGAGGCGTCATGCTATATGGAGAGCGATGACGGCACTGTTGATGAAAAGAGTGCTATGAACCAGTGGGGCAAGTTCTTCGTCGAGGGGGGCATCAAGCTGGGCCGGACCTTTCTTGTTGTCGAGGAGGGCGTTCAGAGGCAGGCTATGGAGGAAGCTGGCTTTGTCGACATTGAGGAGTGGAACTTCAAGGTAAGTCTAGTTGCTAGAGCTGATTCTGCAATGCGCCTCTCTATCTCCCCTTTAAATATTTTCTTTTTTTCTTTCATCTGGAAGTTGAGAGCAACAAAGCTAATCAAATCATAGAACCCTATTGGCGGCTGGTCCAAGGACCCCAAGCTGAAGGAGATGGGGCGGTATGTACAGGCTGCCCTCGAGCAGGACATTGAGGGCCGAGTTCTTTTCATGGCGAGCGTCATGGTGGGTTGGTCGAAGGAGGAGCTCCAGGTCTATGCGGCCCAGCTGCGACGGGAGATGCGTTCGGGCAAGAAACATGCTTACTATCGACAAAAAGCTGTGTGGGGTAGGAAGCCAGAATAGTCACGCGTTGCATCATCCTATTAATCAACCGTTGGACGAATTGGACATACATTCTCCCCGTTGTTTTTATCGTCTATGTTGGAGTGTTGCGAGGGTGCGTCCTGTTGCTGCCCTCGGTACTTTACAAGACCTGATTTCCCTTTCCAGAAGGCCTGATCAAACTTCCCGACTTCCAGGTCCGCATATAGAGGCTACGCATGGAGATGTCTACAAGGATGGGACGCAAGAAAGCCTTGGGAAGCAGAAGCAGACGACAGTCCCTTGTCATCTGGTGCAACGTCGTGGTCTTTGGAGTGGTTGGTGGGTGCGTCTAGGTGCTCCAACTCGGCCGTGTAAGAAGCCCATTCGAGAACCTTCCTCTTGATCAAGGCACTACGAGCAGGATCATCTTGAATGAAGACCCTGATCCGCTCTGGAAGGTCCTCTTTTCCACCGTAGAGTCTCAGGTTGAGGTATCGACTTGCGAACCAGTCCATGGCGGTCCAGCATTCCAAAGCATTGGCGACCATGAACCCGCTCTTCTGTTTCGCCTTATCCCACTCGTCGGCCAAGAGATCACGCCCATATATTTCGCGCTCTCGGATACGCAGGACGGCCAGGAACTCGTCGAAGCACTCAAGGTAGCCCCTATACCTGTAGCCATAGGACAGGTCCTCTATTGGGGTGGCGTTAAGCCACAGGGGTGGTTTGAAGAATTGGAGAGGCACCACGCGACTCCACTCCCAATCTAGAACCGAGACAATGTTCATATCGTCGCCTAGGAGGAGATTGAAGATTTCAAGGTCTCCGTGGACTAGGACAAAGGGCCCACGGTCAAAGCTGTGATCAACCCAACGCTCGGCATGCTGGCGGAACATGTCCAGATGGTAGAGATGGTCCTCGCCCTCCTCTTTTTCCGAGACAGTGCCGCGACTCCTGGAAAAGACATTGTCTGCAATCTGCAATAGTATTGCAACGTAGTCGTTGGCTGAGGTAAGGGTCTCACCAGGACCGCAGTATGAGTCTTGGATCTCAGATGGAGCTAGACCCTCCAGCTCTTGCATGTTAAGGTCAATGGTGGCGATCCTCTTGCTGACCCGGAAGCCATCTGGGCCTCGCCTCAGACACCCAATCGAGGGGAATTCAAGCCGCCTAAGCTGCATATATATCTCCGCAAGGGAGGTGTAGAGGCATGTGCGCTTTTCGTCTGACAGCTTCTTGACGTCGGCACAGCTCAACTTCTGGCTTTCGACGAGTCAAGAATGAGAAACGAGGGAAATGGCTCAGGGCAGTTACCCAAGGCATATGCATGGATCTTAGGGATCGGGATGGTCGTCTTCTCAGCTACCAGCCTAGGGCAAGCCGAGAAGGAGACGTTAGTTTCGTGGGTGCCGTCGGTCGGATCGCAAGCACAATTGCACCGCCGAAGGGGAATATAAAAACACTCTTACTGCATTGTGGCGACCTCGCTCTCGAGCTTGCTCTTTCCCCCAAATGCCAGGCATGGAGCCAGAGGCACGCGGACCACCCACCTGTCGCCATCTCCCTCGATGCTGGCTGAGGGGAACTGGACGAAGTAGCAAATGTTGTAGCTCCCGCGAATCGGTGGCTTGAAGAATGTGCAGGTGTCGCCGTTGTGATGCGACGCTGCGAGACGGCAGATGTCCTCATCGTGGATGGAGGCGATGAAACGGTCACGATCGTGGTGGACGCGCGCTTGCACGACCCCGTCCTTGAAGCTTTGTGGGGGCTTTGCCGCGGTCTGTTTGGGAAGATTGCCGGCTTTGATCTCGGAAACCTATTGTGCGACCGTTTTTCCCCCAATAAGAGAGGAGCTGGAGCTGGAGCTGGAGCTGGAGACGGAGCTGGAATCGGAACGAAAGACGGAAGCGGGAGTAGTTTCCATGGTTAGAGGATTAAGGGGAGAAAGAAGAAAGACGGAATAGTCCTGGCACACGCGCCACAGGATTGGCAACCTCTCGGGACGGATGGGCCGAAGTCTCCAAACGCAGGGCTCCGGACCGACAACTATTTTGCCACCCACCACAACACCCCAGCACGCAGTCACCCACATGGCCGGCACACGAACGGCTGCAAATGGCGAAGCGATGTCGAAGCCGCGCAGGGTGCCAGCCGCCATGGGACGGTCATCTGCGGAAGTGACGACGGTGGCGGAGGTCTCCTCTACGGGCACTGGAGGCTCCGCCGGCCCCCGTGAGACACCGACATTGCTATTATATTTATGGCGAGACCTTCGAGAGTGATATTCATTCCTATCCCCAAGAGAGGTAGATACTGACCATGGCACCTACCACTAGCTCCGTGGCAGCAGTAAGCGGCAGACCGAGGAGTAACACTTTGTATCGGTTCGCTAACAAGCGTCCATCAACCAGGGAGAGTAATCATTTTATCGAGACGGGATATAGGTTCGTCAGAGCCCCTTGTCAGGCCGACAGCCCACCTGTTGAAGCTTGGTGGAACAAGACTCTAACACCGGCCCGTTCTCCGTGCGGCTCTCTAGGAAAGCCACGCCCTCGATCCGATACTGTTTACGTAGTTGGACCTATTTGCACAACGAGACAGGTACGTCTTTCTATGCATCGAATGCATGCAGCGCTGACCTTTTCCCCGCCAGTAAACATATTTTCACACGTTATTGGGGCTCTCATCTTCTTCTCCATCCCGATCTATGTCTTTAACGCCGAGATTCCCCCACGATACGCCGTTGCAACCGTCCAGCCAAGGTTGTCGTCTGCTGCATCTACTTCCTCAGCGTCGCCGTGTGCTTCGTCTTCTCTGCCAGTTAATTTCCATCAACATCACCATGGACCTAACTGGGCCAAACTAGTCTAACCTGCTAACCTTCCCAGCAGTTCCACATCTTTATAAGCCACAGCCAAGCAAGCTTCTTCCTAGGCTTAATGCTCGACTTCTAAGGCAGCATCCCCCTAATCTACTACAGCTTCATCTGCTTCCTCAAGCTGCAGATCGTGTACTAGACACTCACGTCTGCTCTCGCCGTCTGCATGATCAACCCGATGTGGAATCCGCCAGTAATGCTGGAGGGGCCACACATGGGGATCTTACATGGCTTATACCCCTGTCACGCAACCGACACCTATTTAGACCACCACCCAATAACCCTCTCCAGCGGGAGGGATACATGAAAGCGTGTCAAAGTACTGTTACACCTGCAGATCTTTCGACCACGGCGCAATGTAGTATGCCTTGATTGAACTACTGAAAAGAAAACAGGGAGAGCGCCGTTCGACGACGAGCTGGTTGGCATGCCCTGTGGATAACATCACCTCGGACCTAAGAAACCAAACCGCCAAGTGCAAAACCTCAGACACCCATGCAACACCGCTACCTCCCCGATCTTGAATCCCAAACCCACCAGAAATCAGCCGAGACAAAAGTCCTCCCTCGTCGGTCCATCTCTAACCTATCAAGGGGGAGTGGACTTGACCTAGATGCAGCAAGTTGCCACAAAAAGGGGATATCGCTATTCTCTCACCTTTACCCAAAGCCTCTACCACGACACCAACCTGCTCGCAGAACGTAGTTGGCGTGGATGTCGGAGGCGTCCGCCATCAGGATAGGTAGTGACAGGCACAACCATTGGCTAGAAAGTGCCACGCAACCACCAACCAAGTGCAAGCATGGATCCATGGATGCACGCTGCTCCGCCACAAGGATGGACGAATCATTGACCGTCACCAAGTCTCAGCCACAGCGCCACTATGCGTAGAAACCGGGGGAGACCTACTCTACTACTAGAAGTTCGTGGAACATTAATAAGGCGCGACCTCCCTCGTCCTCTTCCATTTCGCCATCACCTGGCAGCCGCAGGCTGGTGCGTGTAGTGCGTGTACACCAGCGTGTTCGGCCGACTAACACCATCCGCACGTGGTCGCAGCGTCGGCCATGGAGCGGGCGATAGTGCAAGCGGGGAAGCTGAAGCCGGAAATCAGGCTGGCGCAGGCCGTCTCGGAGTTTGGAGCCTGCCTCGACAGCACCCGACGAGCAACATTCAAGACGCTCCAGACGAACTCGCCACCTTCTCCGACCGAAGTCATCCGTCTGACTGAGGAGATCAATCGCGATGGTGCTCGTCTCCACAGATCGTGGCAGCCGCATGGAACGCGGCTTGTAGGCATCTTGGAGCGCATCCAGCTGTTCTCGACCGTAGGCGACGTGCTTGTGGGTGGCGCGCAGAACATGATCGCCAGCGGTGTTTGGGCTGCTGTGAGGATGTCGCTGGAGGTTAGTCTGGCTTCTTTGTCTTTTTGTAAGCGTTTCCAACGTGAAAGATGGACGGCGTGGTGACGGAACGGCGGCGTTTGCATGGTCACGGCATATGCGCGTTTCCCCGGCGGAGCCATGCTAACAGCTCTATTATCAATCAGCTTGCTATGGGATACCTGTCATACTTCGAGAAAGTGTCAGAGCTTTTCATGCGGCTCGGGCGGTCATCCTCGATCAAACAGGACCTTGTCTTTCTCTTCCCCAACTGCCAACAGCTACAGCAATCCCTGTGCGAGTATCTGATAGTCATCGTGAACTTCTGTCGAGGAATTGTCCTATACACGAAGAAGCCCTTTTTCGCACAGTTAGCTGTGTCGTTCAGCAAGGAATTTCAGACCTTCGAGGCCGACCTGGCTACCTGGAGCTCCATCATCCAGGATCGGGCCAACTATTTAACAACAAAGACTCAACTTCGCTCCGAGCGAGAGATTGTGGCCACTAACTACACACTTTCACTCTTTACTGGATCCCAGGCGAGGAAGCGCGAGATCGACGAAAGACTCTTCAGGCTTCAGACCTACATCTCGCCTCATCAACAAGAGTTTGACGTCATTTGGCGCCGTGAAAGAAAGAAAGGAACGAGCCCCTGGGTCTTCAGTACCGACACTTATCAGACTTGGGCCAAAAGTTCTGAATCCAGCGTGCTCCACGTGACAGGGAGCCTAGGCAGTGGGAAGACGGTCCTCTTGGCCAACATCTTCGCCACTACCTCGTCACAGGATGCCACCACCAGTTCTCCCACGGAGGGAAAGCCGGTTACAGCTTGCTTCTTCTGCAATTTCGGGAACGCCAAGTCACTCGAATCGCGGCATATAGTCGGCAGTCTCGCGTATCAGTTCGTCAAGCTGCTCGTCGTCGAACCCAGTGTTGCCGAGATCCTCGCAGCGAAAACACCGGGTGATATTTCCGATCTTGACATGGATGGGTTGGTTGACTTTGTCGTTTCTATTTTACCCCGAGACCGCAGTTACTGCGTTGTGCTTGACGCTCTCGATGAGTGCTCGGCGCAGGATGTGGAAGAAGTCGTGGTCGCCATATCGAAATTGCTACGGTCTTGCCGGTTGCACCTCTGCTTTTCCACCCGGACCGAGTCGATAACCAGCGGCATCGTCAGTGCCCATTTTGAAGTTCAGCACAAGATCTCAATGACTAGCGCGGGTCGATACGAGGAACTCGAGACTTATATCGATCATGAGATTGATCGAAGGCAGGCCCTGCGGCCTCTCAATCCCGCTCTTTCGAAAGCGATCAAGCAGTTTCTGTTCTCCAATGCTAACGGCATGTACCTCTGGGTTATCCTCCAGATCGAAGCTCTGTTCCCGCGTTACGGGGGGCAACGCATTCTCTGCGACGCCGACGTCCGTGATATGCTTGAAGATCTCCCAGCCGACCTTCCCCAAGCGTTCGATCGGGCCCTCTGCGGGATTGTGGATAACCGGTACGGGAGTCGCGTCTTCGAGATTGTCGGATCCGCTCGAAGGCCACTGACTCTCGACGAGTTCCGTGTTGCCTTGAACGTGGAGCCAGGAAACGTCAAATGGGACGAATCGACGTTCCCCTATGATGCCCATAGCCTCGTTTACCTCTCTGGTGGAGGCCTGCTTGAGGTGGATGAAGAGGACTTGACTGTGAACTACATACACTCAAGTGCGCTGAAATATCTGTCAACTCCCCCAGAGGCTAAAACAACTCGTGGAACCGGCGTCTTTCGTTTCTCACCGACTACTGCGGAGATGAAGATGGGCTACATCTGTGTCACATATCTCAGTTACGACGCATTTGAGACTCAGCTGACCAGAGGCGGTGACGCCGTCGTGGGCATGGATCATGTGTCGGCAAGCGTATCATCTGTGGTTGAACAGGAAGCCATCAGGGGTGATCCGATTCTCGGCGCCGTCGTCAACGTAGCCAAGTGGCTCCGCCCAGCGGGACACGAATACCGCGATATCGACATCGTCCAGCTGATCCAGCAATGTAGCAGCACTAGGAAGACCAAATCAGACCCAGACGTGCGAGCGTTCCTCGCCTATGCCCGCGAGAACTGGCTTTCCCATAGCAAAGAATTTCTCGTGGAGGAGGAGCTGCCGCGATTTCAATCAATGCTAAAGAGGCTCCTCAACAAAGCCCAATCTTCCCTGGAATTGCCATGGAAACCCGGCGACCACGCTGATGCTCTGTCATGGGCCATTCGTGAACGGCATTTGGAGATCTTCCGCTGTCTCATTGCATTTCAGCCAATACAGCCCTCGATGATTTCATCGGTTGCCAGGTTTATTGCAGGCTGGCCGCAATCTGTCAAAATAGCTGGGGAACTGCTTGGAGACATTGTTGCGCAGACGATGCTATGTCTCGCAGAGGTCGCGCACGAAGAACGCCTAGGTATCGTGGAAAAGATGATATCCCATGGTGCAGATCCGAGGATTCCATGCGTCGACACATCAAGTGGCCAGTGCGGCAGAACACCGCTGGACATGTGTTTTCGCTTACCCGACCTTGGTCGCTACGACCGACTCGAATGGATCAAAGTTCTACTTCGAGCTGGTGCCGATCCAGACTGCTCACTAAACTCGTCGGGACCGGGGAGCGCCATCTTGCATGCTCTGGTAACCGGAAACCTGTCCGGCCTCAAACTGCTGTTGGAGCATGGCGCAAACGCCAACATATCATGGAATAGAGATTTGTTGCGTCTGAATTTGCCTACCTACGCTCTCGCCGATCTCGACGTATTGCGGCCAATGACCATGTCTCCCTTGGCACTTATTGTTGTAACGTGGGAAGATTATATGTCCTGGGGTCGTCCACTACAGTCGGCAGCAGTCGACGGATATGACTCAGGAGATGATCTGGACTTTGCCAAGGTTCTTCTAGAAGCTGGCGCAGACCCGAACTGGGCATACGTCAATGATCGGTCACCGGTACAATACCTTGCAACCTGCCATCGGGCGGTCGAAATACTGCAGTTACTGATCGAATCCGGAGCGAGATTGGCGAGCGAGAGTGCAGAGACAAGTCCATTGGTCCTGGCTTTAGGAGCAGGGTTGGTAGAAAATGCCACTGCAATGCTTCAGCTGTCCTCAGAGGGTAACCAAATCCCAAGACGAGACCTGACCGAGGCATTGTTTTTGTTTATGGAGCTGTGTCCCAGCTTGCGTTCCCCGGGACCGAATATGGAATGTTTGGAGAAGCTCCTGGAGCTAGGAGCGGACGTCAACGCAACGATAGCAGCCAAAGGTTGGTGTGCCCGGCCACTAATTATATTGCCAAAAACCAGGCCACACATACTCACAAATGACTGATGGTTCTGTCACTAGACTTGCTAGATAACTCCCATCGGTATCGAGATCCGCCGTTGATCATCGCCTGCAGGGAAATCGACGAAACCTCTGATCCTCCGCCTCTCTGGATCCTCCGAACACTCCTGCGCTTTGGTGCAGATCCGAATGTTACCGACAGATCGGGGCGACTAGCAGATCAATATTGTCTTGCGGGCGGTGATAAGGAGGCTATACTGCAGCACTATCGCAAGAGCCCCTTGGAGAGACACAAAGAAGCCGAAGCCGCGGTAGGGGCCCTCGATATCGAAGCCTTTGATCGAATTCTAAAATTCGGCTCTCTCCATTGCAAGGACCAGCAAGAACCTGTCACGAGATTATTCAAAATCGCCTGTGCGGCCCCTGAAACAAGCAACTCCAGGACCAAAGACCCACGCCAGGTGGCGAAGCAGTTATATATAGTCTACTCGCTATTGCGAGAAGGGTTCGAGTTTGGAGCCGTATTCACTCAAATCTCTCGACTCATCGATAGTGCTCAAGAGCATGACTACCTTGTAGCTTTTCTCAACTTTGGCTTGAGAGTTCCACGCAACGCCTGGTCTCGGACGATCCCTGGCACGTGGAGACCGCGCTCTATCGCCATCCGTCGCGGGATGGATACCCTCTTTGCCAGGCTTAGACACGCAGGCGGTTTCGACTTCATCCCTCTTCCGATTGACGACACACCAACGTCGCCAATCTCCGGAGTTGGCCTTGCTGATCCTGCGAATACCGCCGTCGACAAGGGAGACACGGAGGAGGACGACGACGAGATAATTGACCCTAGGCTTAGCAAGATGAGGCTTCCGGTTCTCGGCCGGGAGTTCTGGATGGCTGACGAGACCTGCAAAGAATGTTTTATTTGCGGGGCGCCATTCACTGTCTTCCGTCGGAGACACCACTGTCGGTGCTGCGGTGCGATCTTGGATTCCCAATGCACCGCGATGATTGACGGGCAGGCATCGGGGGTGCCGGGCCGTTTTCGAGTTTGCAAGCCTTGTCTGGGTATCCTAAACGCGATGGCTTAAGAATTGAAAAGAATGTGGTCTGACTTTTGGACGGCATGCTTGGGGGGGGTTGTTAATCTGCAAGCTCGATTCATTATCATCTACCGCCAGTCCTCTCTAATCACACCACACCACCTTGTATCCCAACTCTAGCCGTGTAGTGTCGTGGTATCTGTCGGGGCTTTGCGAAATAAGAGCCAGGGTGGGGCGGTATGATGCTACTTATACGCATGTACGCTAATTGCGACGCATCGGTGGTCTAATAATGCGGAAGACTCGGGTTCTCGAATTCTCGAAGGTCGGTGCCGATGATGGCCGATACCTAATCAGCTGCTAGCCACGGAACAAGTGACCTTCTATGACGGCAATGGCGATGTCAACATTAACAGAGACGGCCACAGCAAGAGTGCTTTAGCAATAGTGACAGCGACGGCTAGCCAAATGCCCCTGCCCGCGGAAACAACCCCCCGCGGAAACTCCGCGGAACTGGCAAACAACATCATCCTCGATACCGTTCACACATAATCCGCCTGCTTGCCGCTCTCACTGACTTACCCACGGAAACTCCACGGCTACCCGACGTCTTCCATATTAAATCTTATCACCCACACTGCCATTCTTGCCTGTCTTGGCTATGCCAAAGGAACGGGGCCTGCAAGCCAGGGGCATCCATCCTCGCACCCCTCGCACCTCTCGCCAGCGTCCCGTCTCTTGCCAATTCTGCAGGTCTCGCAAGCTCCGATGCAGCAGAACCCTACCCTGCTCCAACTGTCTATCTCGCGGTATTGCCTGTCGTCTCGATCCTGCCACCGACCCTGTTGCTCCTGCCGTTGTCGCTGCTGCCACTCCTGCGCCTTCCACCGCCTCAGACCGGGATGCAGTGCAGGCTGACATGCTCGAGCGCCTCCACCGACTGGAGCAGCTCGTAACACAGCAGCAGGCAACTCAAAGCCGCGTTGAGAATGCCCCCAGCGAGGGGCCGGCAGAGGATCTACTGATTGTCCCTCGTGTGCCACCTCCGGCCACCCCGTCGCCCTCCGACAAGCGCCCCGACAGCTCGCCGCGCTTGCAGCACTTGAGCGACGACGTTGCTTGGCTTGAGCGGGTGTCTATTGGGCAAAGTTCCCACGTACGTCGAATGGCGTGTCAATCTGTGTTGTTGAGCTGTATTTTTGGCTAACTCTCAAGGGCTAATTCGACAGGACCGGACCTTTCCTGATACCATTGTCTTCAAGATCGGCCCCATTCATGATCTTCCCAAGGCGCCCAGTTACATCAGCCAGCTCACCCCAGGTGCGGAACCAACCAGGTGTGTGTGGCTTCCGCAGTACCAAGAGGCCAAGATCCTGCAGGGCAAGTATATAAACAACGTCAGCTACATCCATCACGTCGTCCACCTTCCCTCATTGCCGGCATTTATCGACAAAATCTACGTGCGATTGACTGCCCAGGACCGCGTCGAGCCCGGCCACTTGATGCTGCTTCTTGCCATACTCGCGAGCGCAACCTACACCTGGACCGACCATGACCAAGACTGCGGACACAAGCCATTTTCATCCTCGGCCGAAGCAAACAGCCAGGCACCCTTCTGGGTCAGGGCGACCCAGGACGTGTTCGACGCAGCCCAACGTTCAACTTGCCTGTCACTAGAGCTACTCCAGGGTGTCATCATTCTCTCCTTCGTCGTCTGCAATATTGAGGGGATTTCGCTGCGGTACCGCTCCTTGATATACTCCGCTCTCCTGATAGGCCGCGAGTTGGGTCTCCACCGCTGCGACCATCCGAGCAATACGGGCACGGCAGACACGGTTCGGGCCGAGATTGGTCGGAGAGTGTGGTGGTATTTGGTTGCCACCGATTGGTATGTATCCTTACCTTTTGAATGAACCTAAGGTTAGACTGGTTCTAACATTACCTTCAAACAGGTTTCTGGCTGCGAGATCTAGCGGTCCAACCGAAGGCATCTATCAGAGTAATCCCCACCATATGGTAGTCAATAAACCTCGCAATATCAATGACGAAGACCTGTCCGATGGGGCCAATATTGTCGAGAAGCCGATATCTCACCCGACAGATATGTCCTATTCCTTGCAAAGGATCCGTCTCGCCGAGCTCACCCGCAGCATTGTCGACCGCAACCACCTCCTAGGCAGGCACGGTTGGGGTCACGGCGACATCATGGCTATTGACGGCGAACTCGAGCGGTTCATGGCCGACATCCCCCCCTTCTTCAACCTGGAGACTGACGAGCCCAACCACGACCGCTCCCCGCGCGCCCACGGCATCATAATCCAGGCCTACATGCTCAACTCCCTCGTCCACACCCACCGCTGCAAGCTGCACCTCCCCCACCTCGCCCGCGGCCGGCAGCCCTCCTCCGACACTGACCCGGACCCCGCCCACGCCCGCTCCCGCGACGCCTGCCTCGACGCCGCCCGGCTCATCATCCGCACCGAGACGCGCCTCGAGCGCGAGGACCACCCCTTCGTGCCCACCCGGCTGCGCTTCCCGGGCATCCTGTACGGCGTCTTCGTCGCCACCATCGCCCTGCTGGCGGACGCGTGTGCTGGCGGCAGCGCTAGTAGTATCGGTGTCGGTGTCAGTGGTGGTAGTGAAGTCGCCGACGCGATCCGAATCCTCGGAGACGCCGCGGCGGTGGGCCGGTCTCGCACCGCCGCCGACCTGCTCGAGTCGCTGACCCTGGTTCTCCGGAAGCACGGGTTGCCGCTTCCGCCCGGGCTCCGCCGGCGGGGTCCGCTGCCGCGGTCGCCTGGGGGGAGTGACGAGGTCGACGGGGGCAACGACGCTGCTGCTGCGGCGCGGTTGCGTGATGATCGCGGCGATGGCGCCGTCGATATGGCGGGTCGGTCGCCTGGTGGGAATGAGCGGATGGCGTATTCTGACGAGCTGGCGCAGATCTTGGAGGGGTGGGCGGACCTGGAGGGGTTTCAGTGGGATGGCATCTTTTCTGGGATCGATTCTTCGTCCTTCTTCTGAGCTGCTCGCCAGGGTCTGACAGTCGGGTCACTTGACTTGGCCTTTATCCAACTTGCCTTACTTGGCTATTTCATAACATGGCTTGATTACCTACTTGCAAGTAGAGTTTGTCTTTGCGGGCAGGTGCAATTGGCTATTCGGGTAGGGGTTCTGGGCTGCCAAAAATCTTTAGAGAGTTGGAGCATGAAAAAAACCCGCGACTACGACGGAATGGCGATGGCAACGGCGTGGGCGGCAATCGGCGAGGGCAGGACTGGAGGGTAGTCCAACTTGCCCTCGAAGATGTCCACCGATGTGGTTACGCTGCAGTTTTGTACATACTCCTACCGCAAGGAGCCAGCCGGTGCCCTCGAAGATGTCCACCGATGTGGTTACGCTGCAGTTTTGTACATACTCCTACCGCAAGGAGCCAGCCGGAGCCCCAAAAGTCCATTTCTCGCTCGATTTTTGGAAGGATGGACAAGTTTAGTCGGGAACTAGACACAGGAAACCTGCCTCCTGCCAGCTTTTCCCCTGTTTGTAAATCATCAGCTTTGAGTTATCGGTGTTTATTATTGGTGTTACGATCCACTACTGGTCGGCCGAGGGCATGGGACGGGCGCAATGTTTTGTCCATGTACCTAATTTGATAGGATCTCTTGGCGAAATGATCGCACATGCGTATACCATACGTGTCTAACTAAACGTTCCATTCCGTCCCCCTCGTATCTCTCTAAACGCTTGCATTTCCACCTCATCATCCATTATGTTAGGATATGTAGGGGAAGCTAGTGTGTAGGTTATCCGATCTGTGTTGATTGGATGGTAGAAGAACAGTGGACGCATCACGGGATCTTGGCTGTGGGATTTGCACCCTGAGCTGGCCAACAACCCACGGGGAGAAACCGTGATCACTCCTCTTACGTAGCTAGAACAATGCTGAGATTGATAATTAATAATCATATGTCCCTCTTCATGGAAGCACATGTTCGGGCTTGGGAATGAGGTAACGGGCTTCTTTCTGCTTACACATTCGAACTTGGTAGCGTCACGCAATTTCCCCGCATCAAGCAACTCTAACTCACATATATCACAGAACTACTCCTACCTACCCAGACATAAGATTCTTCATAAACCATCCCCAGCAAGACCTCATGAGAATTATCTACCTACCTAAACCATGGCTCCTTCACGACTGAGGTGAGGAAGCCCTCGACTGATCACTCCGACAGCTTCGCCATTGAATACTGGGCTGTCAAGGAATCTAATTTGTAATACTAATTACTAATTAGTCTTTCCGAGCTTGCCGTCAAGCTCGCTACTGACGGCCCAACAAAGCAAGAGCCGGCTAATCGCCGTGTCCGTGGCCTTCTCGGTGGACACTGGCTCTTCGATACCACTGACGCAGTCTACGTCTGGGAGCACCAGTATTGTAAGTTTGACCGATAACCGCTGAAATCCTGAGCGACATGTGGCTGATAAGTCGTCCAGATCCCGTCTTCTACATCCCCCTGAAGGCTCTAGATGCTGGCCCAGGGGAAATCTCCAAGGGCAAGACGGATGAGAAGGGGTTCTGGATCGGCACCCTCCATCTCGATGGCCGAGACATCCAAGTGGCGGGCTTCTCAAAGGGCCCGTTGGACGGCCTGGTGAAGATTCCGGCGGAGTCGCTCGGTGAGTCTAGGATATAATTAATACCTCTTCCTCGCATACCCCTTACCACGACGGAGAGCGAGCAAACACTAAGTCACGCCCGCCCAGACTCGTGGTTCGCCGAGGACGAGAAGCTCCTGGGCACGCACCCCAAGGACCCGTACACGCGCATCGAGTGCCTCCCGTCGTCGCGCGAGGTGCGCATCGAGGTCGGCGGGATCGTGGTCGCGCGCAGCGCCAACAACGTCTTCCTCCACGAGACGCGCCTGCGCACGCGCCACTACCTGTCCCCGACATCGGTCGTCGACTGGGGGGCGCTGGTGCCTAGCGACACGACCAGCTTTTGCCCGTACAAGGGCCAGGCGAGCTATTACCACCTCCGGGTCGGGGGTAGGGAGATTAGGGATGCAGTGTGGTATTACACGTACCCGACGGCGGAGTCTGCTGCGATTCAGAACCGGCTGTGCTTCTATAATGAGAAGGTTGACGTGTATATTGACGGGGTGAAGGAGGAGAAGTAGATCTGGCCTTGCTGGGCCAGGCCTAGCTAGGCTTGATAAAATGGCGTAAGTCGAGATTGTTTCGCTGGTTAATGCTATTACAAATAAAATGCCCAAATAAAACCCTCGTCTATCCAAAACTCCCCCGTCATAGTCGTTGCGCCTAAACCGCCCTTCCCAATGCAGCCAAAGAAGCCCCCCCAAAATACATCGTCCGCGGACAGAGCCATCATCTCTCCGGATCGCTCGAGCAAGCTTCTTCATCCCCGTCCCCATCCCCGCCGCTCCCCTCCTCCTCGTCATCCTGGCCGACCCAGTCCTCGCTCTCGAGATCGCTGCCCCTGATCAGGAACGCGCCTAGCCAGCCGGCCAGCGCGATGCCGGAGAACAGGCCCCACGCCAGGGCCTCGCCCTTGGGCCTGACGCGCATCGACAGCGTGAAGATGCCGCCCGAGAGGAAGGGGCCGACGCTGCGGCCGGCGGCGGAGAGGGTCTGGGCGATGCCGTTGAGGGTGCCCAGGGATTCGTGGGAGGGCGCCGAGTTGTTGATCTGTTGGGTGTCGTTAGCTTCACCACGCCTTGCAAACCATGGAAAACGTCCACTGTTCCGGCAAGGTAGATAGATGGAACTCACCAAGAGCATCACGCTGCTCAACCCCCCAACAGCACAGACGTTCTTCAGAAGCAGCACGACCCCGAGTTCGGCGTACAGCCACGCCCTCCCGCTGCCGAGCCTGAACCAGGGCTTCTCGTCCGAGTGGCCGACGAAGGGCATCAGCGCCATGCTCAGGGCGATGCCCAGCAGGGAGGCGCGGTAGGTGCCCAGGTTCCCCACGCGCGCCTTGAGCGGGCGGAACAGCGTGAGCTGGAAGAGGATGGTGGCGAGCCCCGCAAACGAGAGCGACAGCCCGATGGTCTCGGGGCCGAGGCCGCGGCCCGTGGGGGGCGGCGCCGACGCGAAGATGGGGTACAGAGAGTTGTACGAGATGTTGGAGAGCTGGAAGAAGAGGTACGTCACCAGCACCGCCAGGGTGGTGCGATTGGCCAGCTCGCGGAAGGCCGATTTCTGCTCGGATCCCATCTTGTTGCCGTCGGCGGGATCGTCGTCGTCGGAATGGGTGGGTGTGGGGCGTTGAGATTGGAGGAGACCCTCGTTCTCGGTGGAACCGTCGCTACTTCCCGACGACGACGACGACGGCGATGACGGCGCGCTCTCGACCCCGGTATCGCGGCTCCCCGCCAACCACCTCGAACTCGCGCTCTGCGGTTCGCCCCGTCTCCGCCGCTGCAAGCACCGCAAGCACCGCCACTCGAAAACCCGCTCGACCCAACCGAGCCCCGCCACGCGCGCCTTCCGGTCCACCCCGTCCAGGGTCTCGTCGAACCACACGGCCAGGACGACGACGCTCGCGAACAGCAGCGCGGCGCTGACGATGTTGGGCGCCAGGAAGGGGTAGGCGCCGTCGCCGACGTCGCGGACCAGCAGGCCGCCCATGGCGGGGCCCGTGATGCCGCCGATGCTGTACATGACGGGCAGCCAGATGAAGGCGCGGCTCTGGTTGGAGCGGTCCGTCACCTCGCCCAGGCACGTGGGCACAACGGCCGCGTTGCCGTTGAGCAGGCCCATGGCGACGTGCACGCCCACCAGCTGGCCGTACCCGCGGCAGAACCCGAAGGCGCCGAAGCACAGCCCCAGCAGCGACGTGCCCAGCAGCATCACCGGCTTGCGCCCCACCGTGTCCGAGAGGTAGCCCCACAGGAGGTTGGTGGCCAGCTGCGCGAGCGCGAAGGCCGAGGCCAGGAGCCCCACGTATGCGCCCGCGTGCCCCGCGGGGATCTCGGGGAAGGAGGATACCATGGTCGGGAGGTAGGGCGATATCGAGTTCAGGGCCGTCTGCTCCGCCAGGGATACCAGCGCTAGCAGGCCGAGCTGCTTCCACGGAAGCGGCGTCGAGCCGCGCTCGTGATCGTGCCCGTTCCCGTCTTCATGTCCGTGTCCGTGCCCGCCGCTGCCCCCCGAGGCCGTCTTGGGTGGTGCCGTTGGGAAGGTGTGGTACTTGTGCGTCGAGCCTCCGCCGGTGGTGCTTTTCCTCCGGCGGCCGTCATCGTCGTAGGGTGAGAGCTGAGGAAAGGGGGCGCCGGCGTGGAAGGAGCCGCTCGACCGTAGGCGGTTCGGCGGGCGAAGCAGCGGGCGGCGGGAGGAAGGCGGGGAGGAGCCCAAGGACGAGGAGGCGGGGTTGTTCTTGTTGGCGGCGGCGGCGGCTGCGGCGGCGGCCACGTTGACGCTCACCATGGTATGATGGAGGGCGTTGTCAACGCGGTGAAGACATCTGAGGTGGTTGACTAGTGGATGGTGGATGGTGTCAGGCTTTTACAGATAATCGGTGACTGGTTGAGGTTTGTGGATTGAGCTGATGTGTGATGTGGGGGGAGTAAGCAGGAGTAAGCAGGCTTGCTGATTGGGTGTTTCCTTTACCTAATTATTATGCTAGGTGATGACGTAGGTCGACCTGGTCTAGAATCCGAGATTATCGGCGTTATCTCCGCCGCCACCCCCGTCACACCTGCCTTATCTAGAAGTCACGACAGCCACCTACCAGCGATTTCACGCTTCTACCTAGCAAACTCAATCGCACCGGCTGGGATAGAAGGATAGATTTGGATCGTAGAGAGGATAATTACTATTACTGTGCGGGATAGCCACTACCACCAACCTTGATCTTGCCCGCCAAAAAGGGGAAACTGTCCACAACGGCCTGCCCGAATGTCCAGTTGGTTGGATCTCGTGCGTGCGCCCTGAACCCTTCCGTCAATACGACTCCCCCTTCCGGGGAGCGTTCAACTATCGCATGTCCGTCGCGCGGCCAATTGACGGAGAATGTGGCCCGGGCCATGTCCCTGAACTCCTCCTGCCTCGTGTAATCCATGAAGCGTATGATGCTGTCGCGGCAGATGGTGCTAGTGAACCACAGAAACCGTACCGTCAGCGAGGCCATCCCTCCGCACGGCGAAAGGGGAAAACGCAGGGCTCACTACGGCATGATCCCCACCCATATGGGATGAGGGGTTGTAAGTTCGGCTCCGGTAGGTCTCCATGTGTCCGGTATTGCGTCGTAGTATGATTCCGCGGGACAGATAACCCACTGTGAATTGCCATGTCAGTCAGTGGCGGGGTAAGCAACCTGCAAGAAGTAACGGGACTGGGCCTCTCAACCTACACGTAGGATGATGCCTGTCATGTACAGCAACTGTCGACGTCAGCATTCAAGGTTCGCGGTTCAGTCTCCCTTCGGGGGACTAGGACTTACCGCTGCGCTCTCAGGTAATGAAGATACCATGATCTCTCCTACAAGATGCCTCGCAATCGCCGATGCCAATGGCCGACAGACGTCGACCTTCATGGAATCCAGCAACGAGTTGGCGCTCGGAAAGCTTGCCTCCTTCGCCTCCTCCCAGCCGTCACCGTCACCGTCACCGCTGTGGGCTGCCCTCAGGTCTTGGACCAACTTGAGCAGAAGTCTGTCCGTGGCGCAAGTCGGGTCGCAGTAGCTGGGCGTGATGGCCCAGATGGGCTTCGCTGCGCGGGCGTTATTCGCCTGTAGTCTCGAATGGTATGTTACCGCGGGCGAGTCTAGGGCTACGTGGGATGGAAATTGTGGAAAGTTGAAGTCGCTCTCGAACTGCTGCATCGAATAAGGCATGTACCCGGTGGCATGGAAGGTATTTGGGACCGAGGGAAGGGGGTTCGGGTCGTCTGTAAGTCATCTTCCAGGTTAATGAGAGAAACAAAAGGGAGTCGTCAACAAGCCCCCGCGGGACACACTCACATCCACTGCTGGCTGTTGGAGGTTTCATGTCAAACCCAACAAATCCAACATTGTCCCACGCTCCATGGTCGATATCTTGGTCGTCGAACCTAATCGAATCCCCAGAGGCCACGAAGGACTGGAGGGGCAGAGAAGTATCGTTGGAGAAAGCCACCATAGAGGCTGCCTTGTCATGCCGAGTGTCCATGTCGGGTTTACCCGACGTCTCACCGATTGTCGATGCACCGGCAGATGGTCGCCATTGCTGCCTATTGCTTGACACCGCCGGAACGGCCTGCAAACTGGTCACCGCCGACGCAACCGCCGCCTTCGTCTTCTGCGCGTCCTGGGCCAGTCGGGAGTTCAGCCGCTCCACTGCTTCTAACTTTTCCCTGAGCTGACGGACCTCTTCTTCGAGTTCGATGATGCGCGATTTGGTCTTCTCCCTAATGTGGAGAATGCATGTCAGTCAGCCCCATCTAATTAAGACCCCCCAATGTAATGCCGGAGGGAGAAGAGAAGAGAGAGAATAAGGAGCGGAGGGAGGGAGGAAAGAGAGGGAGAAAAACCACCAAAAAACTCGCCTCTGGAGCCTCTGGCTCTGCCTGTCGATGGCCCGCTTCCTCGCCAGCCTCTCGGCGCTGAGGTGCGCGACGGCCCTAGACGTCTGCGCCGATCGAGGGCTGGTTTGGTCGGAAAGGGTGGGGTTTGCTGCACCTGCTCCCGTGCTCGGGATCATCGTACGCCTTCTCGGTTTCTTTCGTTCGAAACACAAGCCGCAGGCACTGTCGAGTCAAACTGATACCTTGTTCGGCAGCCCCCTTTTTTTCTCCTGTAATGCCAAGCCTCCCCCCGGTGTGCGTTGTTAGGGGCCAAAGGTCCATTGGTTTCAAGAGCCGGATCTCCTCGGTAAATGCTGACGTCTCCTGCGGAGGAGAAGGTAAGAGATGGGGTGGGATTGCCGGAACAGGTGATGTGCTGATCCCTTGTCCGCCGATAAGGTTCGCTGGCGCGCATATGTACCCGGTGATGACGGTAAGTTAGGTGAGATGAAACCCACAGCGTCGTCACGTGGAAGACGAAGGTTATTATTTTGGATACGGTGTGAGGTGTGGTCTGTCTCCAGGCAGGTACCTATCTTCTGGTCACCTCCATGGTAGGGAAGACCCAATCTCCTGGCTCAAACATGGAGCTGGGGGGCCAATCCAGCAAGACCAGCTCGAAGACCTTTGCTTGAACGCCAATAAGAGCCAGCACACAGGGAAATCATGATATTGAAACCCATCATTGCCTATCATTCTCTGAGGAGCCACCAGTGAAGGTGGAAATCTCTCCGTGCGGGTGCGGTGGCGGAGACTGCGGCCGCCCCCCCCCATCCTATCCCCCCTGCCTCCACAACCAAGCCTTTTCTTCGATGAATTCCTTTCCTGTGCAACTTCACTCAGGCCCCGGGAGTAATTTACTTTCTGTACGGACTCTCCTTGCTAGAGTTACACGGTAAGGTGTCATGTGGTGGTAGACCTGGGCGACTTGGTTGATTTGATGGCTTGATGGCAAGATCCTCTTCGCCTGGCGTCTGATTGATTTGAGACATGGAGCATGAGCTACCCAGCGTGTTAAAATAAAGTTGCAGACTAGCTAGAGTAGCTATTAATAATGTAGGGCAATATCCGTGTTGCACAGAGATGCACTTCAAAATGCGCCCCCTGCTAAGACTCCAGGCTGCCGTGATTAAATACCATTACATTAGAATGAGAAGTATACATCCACATCCGCACCCGACCCTTCGTACCTCGTCCAAATTCATGCCGGGCAAGACCCGATTTTTAGAGGAGCTGGAAGGCCACCATGGCAATACCAGCAGCAGCCAGGAGACCGGCGCTGGCGTCCTTGGCGGAACCCTATTGTGGAGATATAGATTAGCAACCCAGCCGAAAAACCATGGGCATGCACGCAGCCTGGGGCGGAACTCACCATGTTGACGGTCACGACAGTGGGGCTGGCCGAGGCGGAACCGGAGGCGGAACCGCTGTCGGTGGAGGTCGAGTTCGCATACCCGCCGGAAGACGCGCTGGCAGTCGGGTAGCCCGACGGACCGGACTCGCCGGCGGTGGGCTCGGGGACGGAGGTGTCGGTGGGCTCGCCGCTGGCGGTGGGCTCAGCCGGCGGGGAGTTGGTCGAGTCGCCGCCGGAGGGCTTGCTGCTGGAGGTCGGGGGCTTGGGGGCGCCGGTCGACTTGCTGGTCGGCTCGCTGGCCGGGGGGTTGTTGGTGGCGCTGGGGGTCGACGGGGCATCCGTGGAAGGAGCCGAGGGCTTGATGAGGTTAGCTTAGTTCAAGAAGAGATGGAGAGTGGCCAGACTGGGAAGACGAAAGTCATGCCAGTTGGTTGTTTTCACTTACGGTGGGGCGGGGAGGAACGGTGATGGGCACACCGAGCTCTGCATTCGTGATTAGCTGGACGTCCACTTCCACTGCGCGACACAAGGTTGAGTTGGGAACTTACCCTGACAGAGGTCTACGCCGAAGTCGACAGCCTCGTCGGCATCAGCGCCACACTCGGAGTAGACACAGTCGAGGAAGTAGCCCTGGAGATCTTCGGCCTTGCAGAAGCAGAGATACATGTTGGCCTCCGTGCAGGACAGGGGAGGGTGGTCGGTGATGACGTCCTGGAAACATGTGATCTAGAGAAGGAAGGTACGGGGTTAGCGAACTCGCGTGTTGTCGAGCAGTTCCGGGAGGGCGTCATACTGCGCAGTACGGGACACCCAGGGCCACCGAGGCCAGGCTGAGCAGGCCGGCAGCGGCGAGCTGGAGGGACGAGGAGGTCTTCATGGTAGCGGTAAGAGTCGAACAAGTCAACGGATTATGTTTGCTGATATCAACGAGTGACCCGGTTTATATAAGCAAAGTAACGAGTGTATACGACTTGTCGAAAAGTGCTTGATGTTGAGGAGGTGGTGTGGAATTGCCCTCGACGGGATGCAGGCAGTCGGAAGACTTTAATACAAGTCCAGCTAGCTGCCATGCAGTCTGCCGAGATCATCCGCCATCAGCTAAGGACGCGCCGTCCGCATGCAGGAAGGCCCCGGCTGAAGCCAAGAATAGCGGAATGTGCCCCCCTCCGTACTCGGCCGATGAGGGCATTGTGGCGTTCATGATAGTTTACGTAAAGGTGTTGGTTGGCACCCAGCAACCGACAATTAACCATGGCCTCTCTTCGTCAGGGGCCGGGCAGGGGGGAGAAGGGGGGGATAGCGCCAACAGCCGGAAACCCGTCAAGGAAACGAGCTTTGCTGCCACTCCATTGGAAGCTTGGAGATCAGATAACTTGGGGGGTGAAAACTCCAACGAGGTACTTCCGTAGATACCTCGCAATCGGAGTGTTTTGGGTGGCCGGCATGGTACCCTGGCTCATGATTTCCAATAATTCTTCGTTAGCTCCAATTGTGCCTGCGGGAAAGAAAAGCAGAAGAAAAAAGAGATTTGCTGGCGAGCAGGGGCCAAGATCTGATAAATGTCTTACCCCGGTAAACAACTGCTCCAACAAACATATCTGGCCAATAATAAGAATCCTCTCACGAGGTACTCTCGAGCTTGACCCGATAATTTTAGAGTTATCAGATGATCTGATAATCTGGGCCTTCGACTGGTGGTGAAAATTCCCCACTGGCCCACGCGCGTGGCTTTTTGCTAACTGCATTTGTTCCATCTATCGCCTCGCTAGAGAATCAACACCCCACTCAGCACCGGAATCGGAGGCTGGGGTCAAGACTACCATGCATGATTGATGCGAGCAGGGTTTTCCATTCAGGGTATTATTCCTTGAATTTCCCACCACGTCTCCGGTGGGATATCTGGTGTTGCATGATACCTGTCCGCGAGCTCTTCTCGGCCCTGTAGCTTGACATGGGGAGAGCCCGGGGCATCTAGGTACTGTAGCATCGCATCACTGGTCCTGGTCTGGCTGAATGAAGTGGCCGGCCAGAACGGAACACCACCCATGTATGCCAAGCCATGCAGCAGCGTGGCACCTGGATCCAAACCGGTTAGTCGACTCTCAATCATGGATCTGATAACAATAACAAGACGAAAAAAGGACCCAGTCCCGCCCGCGTGGTCCGCCCGACTTGGTAGGCATACACGAGTCACCCAGTTGCCGCCAAGAAAGCTGGACCTCGTCCCCTGGCCTCATATCACCGAGCTAGGACTAGCTCAGCGCACACCAATATGTACGAGCGTTCCTGCACCTTCTTCCATATTCGTTTGCATCGTCCAACAATTCGCATCAACCCCCACTCTCATCTTGGCCGTGCGCGACGATGATTAGTTTTCCCACCTCGCACCCACCACCGATACCCGCCATCGCTATGCTACATCCTTGTCGCAGGGATGGTGCCCAAACCGGGTAATGGTGCGTTGGAGACTCGGGCTTCTCTTCCATTTCTGGCCCGTCGTTCCCAAGTCACTTGAAGCAGGCGCAACTCGCCTCCCCACGGCGGCTAGGTAGTCCCCGGTGGGAGGGCTATATTTGCTCGCTAGTTTGGCTATCCTGATTGGTCCCCCAAACCTTCTCACTTCTCTTCCAACTCTGCTTTTCAGGTGGCTTGATGTGGTTCCGGATCCGGCACCCTCGGCTGAGGCCGTCCGTCTTCAACAACCGAACCTCCAACGACCTACCCCCACCCCTCTAATTGGGTGAGAAAGGGACCAACTGCTGAACATGTACCCACATCATCAAAGTGAATGCTGGGTTGTAGCTATCTTTGCCTCCCCCTTTCGAGTTCCAGACCTTGATCTGCCACTGTAATATCAAAAGAAAGCAATACGAATCCGCTTGAGCGATCAGATGCCAGGCTGACCTCAAGAGAGGTAGACTTGCACAGAGCACAACAGGTTGAGGCACCCTAAAGTCAACCTACTGCTGAGTCTTGACATCATGCAAGTTGTCGAAGTTCAGGACCCCCAGCTGCATGGTTCGCACCGTCCACTAATTAGTGCTAAGAGATGGCGTACGATATCCGGCCGGCGGCTCGGCATGCATGCATAGACCACAGTAGGCGACCCGACAATAGAGCATAAAATACTACCATTATGAGCTTTCTTTGTGCACAGGGGGCGCCTCCTGGCACGAATTCTGGTAAATCTCCTGTGTTAGACTTCCCGCCATCTCAAACTGGTGCAATCCTCCTTCGACAACCCCTTTCAAGTACCCTCAACAACGACACATCGACCATAACTTCATGGCAAACCGAAGCCGCCGTCGTCGCCTGACTTTTGGCTCGTCGTTTATCCATCGAAAAGATGCATCACCTTCTCCACGATCAACCCGGAGGGTGTGTGCATCGAACGTCGCATCCTTCAACCAACAGGTCCATGGAAAGCCAGCGCCAAACCGGTTCTTCAACCATCCATATTCTACAAGTGATCAGACACACCTCTCTTGGGACGTGTTCAAACTCCAATTCAAGAACCGCACTCCTACAGAGCCCCTGAGCCATCCGTACATCACTCGCCATGACAGAGGAACAGTGGCCAGACATTCTACAGGAGGTGCTGGAAGACAAGATATCACACTTTCGGGTTACCCGACCCGCGCTCCAGGTACGTTTCTCTGATTCTATTTAACTGACTTTCTGTGGGTTGGCCGGATACTCCAGTCTCAAGTGTATTTTGCCGACAGTACGACACTGAATATCTCTACCTCTTCAATGCCGACATCCCCTCCTTCCTCGACCGGTTTCACCACCCTGGTTTTCCGCCTTCAGGGCCGTTTTCTATCTCAATCCAGCAGGCAGCATGCCTTTCGAGTCGTATGAATCACTGTGTGACCAGTCGCTGGTACACATCTCCCAACGCCTTATGATCAAGAGTAGGAACCGGGACGGGAAATATGGACACGGGACCTGGGCCGTACTTTGGGTCGTGGTTCGCCGATCCTGCCATTACCTTGTTGCTCTGCCTGGTGTGTACAGGTTCACGGAGCCGTTCGGCGGTCGGTCCTGTGAATGAGTGCTGTGTCGCGACTTCCCAACTCGAATCAAGTATTACTTTTAGAGAGACGTAGCTGTTATCTGCCATGCGCCCAAAGGCCATCTCTACGATTGTGTACTTGCCCCTGGCTTTCGGTTTGCCGAGATCCGAGGTCTTACTGGTGTCTGGGCCACGCACAGGACAGACCTTGGTAGTCTCTCTCCCAGTCCACACCCTTATTATAATGTCCGGGATCGGATTGTGGCTTTGGGTATTGCCCGTGACGGGTGCCTCGATCAAACAGCCCGTGTGAGGACTAATTGGATGTCAGGACTTATACGGCCGAAGTGACATTAGAAAGTAAATCAGATGTAGGTGGAAAATCTACCCTCCTTCAGGGGCGTCAGGCCAATCAGGATAGCAAGGGGTCTCTTGGCGAACGGAGAAGCGACATCTCCGAAGGGTTAGGCCGCAGCAGAAAAAAGGGGTAGGGGGAGGTAGATGCGGTATCGGAGATGTCACTGAGAAGGAGGCGTAAGAAGGATTGACAGTCACGTGTATTCCTAGGCTATTCCCCCCTTGTAGAAACGAAGATGTACCGTACGGTATGGCACTCAACGACCGCTAAAGAAACCGCGTAACAGCAGCCATGACTTCCAGCGGTGTTGAGTCTCTACTTGGGGCAGGTGGTCGGGAGCCAGTTGATCGGAGCATTGTAAGCTAGGTTCCTCTGTCAGCAAGTATCGCATCCCATCCGTCGACAAGCCCAGCACTTACCACCGCAGACGTCCAGGCCGTATTGGATCGCCTCGGGGGCGTCGGCGGCGGTGCAGTTGGCGCAGGCGCAGTCCCGGTAGGAGAGGGCGAGGAACGTGCTCTTGCAGAAGCAGAGGAACATGTTCTCCTCGGTGCAGGTGAGGGGAGGGTAGGTGGTCATGAGGTAGTCGAAGCAGTCCAGCTGTCAGGGACAGGGGTGAGCCGAGGATTCAAGTCAGGGGTAGAGGGAGAGCGAGATTTGGGGGGGGGAGGGGGACTGTCTTACGGCACACAGAGGGAATGCCGTGGTCACGGAAGCCAAGGAGGCTAGGGAGAGGCCGACAACGGCCCGGATTGGTGCGGCTCTCATTTTGATTGGTCTTGGTCGGTTTGAATATATGAAGGAAGTCTCACTGATTGTGGTCGGCTTTTGGAGTTACTTCTATGAGACGTGAGAAGGAGGAGGGATCGACGCGAATATATATAGTTACAGACTCTCTTGAAGCTATGGTAAGAGAGCATATAATGACTACATTCCCACAGCTGGGTAACATCCACTATGCTCACTATGACAGCTCCCAGCCCCGCTGGCAGGAGCGAAGTGATCGGAACGCAGAGCACTAAGACAAACATCCCGAGAGATTGTCCATAATATGGCTCGGTTGGGCACTTGGCACAACGTAAATGCATATGCTGGCTGCAGGGAGTGGGGGTTCGTCGAAGAAGATCGTCCAATGGCCTCCTGGGATCAGATCTAATCAGATCATCTGATAACATTTTGAATCCTTAGCCCTGGATCTTGTTCACCCGATGTCAGGATGTGGTTTCCTTCGCTTAGCCCTTCTGTTGCCTATTCCCTGTGCCCTCTTCGTCGCCTTCATGCGCGTTCCAATGATTCGAATCTACTTGCCGTAGCTGCATGCAGACATACATACGGGAAAAGTCTCGGGTCTGGGACAGTATCGATATGATCCTCCGGGTTCAGGTTGGCCCGTCAGAGCACCGGAATCGGAGGCCCATAGGATGAAATCGGATTCAAACCTGTTCCATGGTCTAGCATCCTTCAACATACGTCTCTAGTCAAGCTGGGCCTGCAGATGTGGCTGGCTCTGACTGGACATGAGCTACAAGCGAGACTACGCTTGAGATGTGCCTAGGAAACTTGATCGACTAGAGTCGGTGGGAGCCGGCTTGAGAACATCCCCTTCAACGATGAATTACGTACAGCGCGGAACGCGGAAGTGTCGGAGAGGAATCGGAGACTCAGACTCGGCATTGGCCCATTATTACAGGTGAGGTAGAAGAAAAGTAACACCCAACTGAATCAAGAATAGACTGACCATCGAGGGACTGAATAGCCGGGCAGATTGGAGGTGACATCATACCGGGGTGCAAGCTTCGAACTGCGATGATGTGTCATGGCTTCCTAAGTGCATACCCGAACGATATTAAAGCCAAAAAGATGAAGAGACTTGACAAGATCTCTTCCACACAAACCACCGCTTCTACCCCTTTCCGTACGAGCTCTGCCACCTCAGGGGATAGAGATTGGATGTGCATACGTACTCCTTTGCGGCGTACATATGCGAGGGGTGCAATAAATCGCTCCTCGACTTCTTCCCTGGTAGGCAAACCGGCAAGGAAGGAAAGCATATACCCATTAGAGTGCTACTTAATGACACTTCGGAGGTCCACATCCAGGATTTGGATGCTTCAGCTGCGTTAATTAAGGTGGAGTTCCATAGCTTAGCAAGTGATTCAGTCCAGAAACCTGAATCATAGACAGTATATTAGACGGTGCATCACAAGGACAGTTACGAAGAGTCCACGGAGCGCGGAGTTCAAAGGCCTTCTTGAGAATAGGACGACTGAGAAGGTGAGGAGCCATTGATTGTTAAAATTATGCTTGAGATACCTACGACTCGATTCATTTATCACCCGTTGAAAGCAAGGTTCCATGAATTGAGATGCTCCCAATGGCCAATATGATAGGCCACATGGGGCAGAGATCCAAATATACCAGTCACACCGATCAATAGAAGGACCTAATTGCTTACTAAAACAAATTAAGAACACTGTAGAGACGTTACTTCTCGATTTCCTCAACGAACAGAACCAGGAATGGACCAATGTTGACGAGGAAGCAATATATGATAATCACACGGATCTGGTGGTGTGCGTTGTGGGTGTGATGTTCATCGTCGTGCCACCATGGTCGAGGACCCGGACATGTCAGGCAGGCCTACACACTCTCCAGATAATTGCCGCTGGGAGAGAAGGAATAAGCAGTCAGTGATAGGTTGTCTTACCGCTGGCCCCTTGTCCGTCAATATGCCCACAAAATCGTTTTGACGGCTGCCCAGCTGGATAGAGTAACTAATCAGTGAGGCACTCCTAATCCTGGTCTAACCGCACGGTTCGCAGGCGGGCGCTGGAGAAGGTGCAGGTTCATTTGTCACGGAAATAGACGCCGTCCGCATGGATGACATGGGCGAAGCGAGAGTGTAGGGCCGGAAAGGTAGCTCTCGGGTGTCAGAGGGGCCATTCTTGTGACAGCGGCAGCGGCAGGGGAAATTGGACAAGCAGCTGGGCCGTGGAGCTACCACCAGAATTCTGCTATCCCTGTTCGAAATGGGGGCACAGAGGTAACACTGGGGTAGCACAAAATCACGAAAATAGATGCACTGTATATGGTTGCAGCGCATTTGGGGGCCAAGCTCTTTATGAAGCGCAGTCAAGATCCGCGCATCGGATCGCACAGAGGATACTCATAGCCAAGTACAGAATGAGTCCAAACAGTGAGGACAACAGTAATTCCTCGGTGGGTCGAGTGACGCGTCGTCGAGTCGGGACAGTCTCGAGGGATCGGCAGGGAAGCAGCGCACTAATGTGGCGCCATTTTGGCGCGTGCCAGGGCACTAGCATGGGGTGCCCAGCCAATCAGAGGCGCTGTTGCGGCGGCCCGTACCGCTGAATCAAGTAACTGCAGGACGCAATCGCCCTCGCTGACCTATGAGCTCCCCGCTTGTGTTGCACAAGCCACAAGCTTTGCTCGGACCCCAGCATCAATCACGTTGGCTTGATCGCGACAAAACGACTTGCCATCTTCCTATTTATCAAACGGCGCAAACGCTGAAGAAGCCGGAGGTCAGTCGCTTGCGCATAGTCAACAAAATCCACGCCAGGAGCATGGAAACTCGACAAGCCATCACTCTTCCCTTCAACATCCCTTCAACGTCCCCTCAACTTAATCAGGCAAAATGGGAAATCCGGGCAAAAGAAGCTCCGGAGATACCGACATACAAAGTCGATCATGGCCGACAGCTACCCCGCTAAAGCAATGGACGGTGCGACATGTCCTCGGCGCGCTCGGCTTCATATCAGCCCTTGCATGGGGCTCGGTTCGGTGGCTCGGAGACAATCCGATTAGCTTTGATCACTACCGTTCCAAATTGATCGACTGGGATCTCCGGCAAGAAGAGGTGAAGAGCGCTTTTGTCACGAGCTGGGACGCCTACTCCCAGCACGCATGGGGTGAGTCTTTTTGCTTCCTCTTTCCTACGCACAATACTTGCGGTGGGATCTTCTGACATGGCTCGACGCCGGTAGGCAACGATAGGTACCATCCCTTGTCGCAAAAAGGCTCGCAGATGAGCCCGAATGGCCTCGGATGGATCATAGTCGACAGCCTCGACACCATGATGGTGATGAACCTGACGACACGCCTCGCAGACGCCCGAAAATGGCTCCAAAGAAGCCTGTCCTACGACCAAGACCAGGATGTCAACACCTTCGAGACGACCATCCGAATGCTGGGAGGTCTCCTGTCCGCCCATTACCTCGCAAGCCGACTTCCCGACGTTTCGTCTCGCAGAGACCCTATATACCTGGCCAAGGCGGTCGACTTGGCGGATCGGCTGCTGTCAGCCTACGATTCGCGGTCTGGGATCCCATATGCCAGCGTGCATATCGGGAACAAGGTCGGGATTCCGTCGCACTCGGACGGCGGTTCGTCTTCCATGGCGGAAGCAGCCACCGTGCAGCTCGAGATGAAATACCTCTCCTACTTGACTAGCAACGAGACATACTGGCGCAAGGCTGAGAAGGTGATGAAAGTCCTCGACGACAATGCCATGGAAGGGGGCCTCTTGCCCATCTTTGTGCATCCTGAGTCGGGCAGGTTCACCACGTCGGAGATCCGTCTGGGCAGCCGCGGAGATTCATACTATGGTTAGTCATGTTCACAGGCTAACAGCTCCTAGCCGAAAAGTTGCTAACCAGGTGGAAACAGAGTATTTAATCAAGCAATACCTCCAGACCTCTGGCCAAGAGCCCATCTACCTCGACATGTGGGAGGAAGCCCTCGCTGGGATCCAGAAGCACCTAATCACAACAACAAGGAAATCCGGCATTAAGATCGTCGCCGAGCTGCCGCAGGGAATTGGCGGGGCACTGTCGCCGAAGATGGACCACCTGGTCTGTTTCTTGCCGGGGTCCATAGCCCTCGGTGCAACAGGGGGTTATACAGTGGCCGAGGCGCGCAAGATGCCTGGATGGAATGCCGCAAAGGAACAGCAGATGCAACTGGCAAAGGACATCATGAAGACCTGCTGGGGCATGTATGCGGTAACCGAGACGGGCCTTGCGCCAGAGATTGCCTGGTTCCACGCAGACAACGAGGACCTTCAGCCGAGGCCCGGAGAGCGGCGGCTCCGTCCTACCAAGGACTCGCTGGCCGCGTGGAAGCAGGACTACATCGTCAAGCCCCTCGACGCGCACAACCTACAGCGCCCGGAGACGGTGGAGAGCCTTCTGATGATGTGGCGGATTACCGAGGACCCGGTGTATCGAGAATGGGGGTGGAAGATATTCAGGGCCTTTGAGGATTACACCAACGCCGGCGGTGGCAAGGGCTATACGTCCCTCAACAACGTGAATGCCATCCCGCCGTCTATGAGGGATAACATGGAGAGTTTTTGGCTGGTAAGCACTACCCCTATCCGCTGCTACAAAGATGGAACGCTAACTGGTCGATGCTTACTTTAGGCCGAAACACTCAAATACCTGTATCTCCTCTTCTCGCCGACGGATTTCCTCCCACTCCACGAAATCGTGTTCAACACCGAGGCGCACATCTTCCCCCGGTTCAAGCAGCACAAGTGGAAGACCGGGTGGCAGCGGAACAGATAATGGAGAAAAAGGGGGGACTGGTGGGGGACAGCCCACCGATGTATACAAACAAAATCCTGACTTTGGATATTCCCACCTGCTGGCTTCTGCCACTCGGGCTACAGCTCCGGAGGAAGAGAGCTGGCCAATTGTCAGAAGAAATGATCGGATTCTGTTCTTGTTGTCTGTCTGAACGATCATTAAGCCAAAAGTACGAAATCCAAAAGAATTGTAAGCTCCTAGGCGACATCCTTCAGCCCGTCTTTGCAGGATGATGTAACTGGAAGCGCTCGTCCTCCAGCCCAAGCGACTTGAGGTGATTCTGCCGGCGCTCCGTATTTCCCCTTTCCTGCGCCTTGATCTAACCAGCCACCAAACGTCAGCGTCAAACACGTCACACAGAGGGCAGGAAGGCGGGGGAGAGGGAGGATACTAACCGCAAGCTCAACATCCAGCAACTTCTCCTCCTCAGAGAGCGCCTCATACACCGGCTTTAGCGCCCTCAGCACCTCAAGATGCCTCTTGACATGCCCGTATATCCCCGGCACCCTCCACCCATCGACAGCCACGCGCGCCCGTTCCCCCACCACCCTCGCCTCCTCCCAACGGCCCATCTTCCCGTACACCGAAGCCAGCCCCGCCAGCCCGTCAATGATATCCTCGTCCTCGTCTCCGCCCCCGCCCGCCGCAACCTCCGCCGCAACCAGCGCATCGCGCGCCGCCTCCGCCGCCTCGTCGAGCCGCCCCATCTTGGCGAGCAGGTCGGCAAGGAAGCGCAGCTCCGTCAAACGGCTCGCAAGGTCGTCGTTGTCATCGTCGGCGTCGTAGCGCGCCAGGACGCGCCGCTGCATGGCCTCCGCTTCGGCGAGGCGGCCGTCTTGCCGCGAGAGGACCAGCGCCCTGAGGGACTCTGCCGCCGCTGCGGCGGCGGTTACGGCTTCGTCGGTGGACTCGGGCCCGCTTTCTAGGCTGGAGGACGCGTCGTAGGCTTCGCTACTCAGCTGCTCCGCCTCGGGGAGCTTGCCCGCGTCGACGAGGACGTACGCCAGATCGACGGTCGCCAATATGGTCTGCGGGTGCGCGGCGCCGCCGCGTCTCCGGATGCGGTTCTCCAGCGCGGCGCGCGCGAACTCCTCGGCCTGCTTGTACCGCCCCTGCTTGTTGCACGACTGCGCAATGGCGTACAGCATGCAGAAAATCTCGTCGTCGACCTCGTCGGCGCCCCCCTCGGGCAGCTGGTCGGGGGGCCGCGCCTGCAGGTACCGCAGCACGTCGCGCTGCATGCGCTCCGCCTCGGGCCACATGCCCAGGTCGCGGTACGTCGTGCACAGGTCGATCTTGGTGTCCACCGTGTCGGCATGGTACTCGCCCAGGCGCTCGCGCCGGTACCGCAGCACCTGCAGCGCGAGCAGGTGCGCGTCCCTGACCCGGTCGCCGGCGCCAAGGTAGCCGCGCACCAGGTCGTGCAGGCAGTCGACTGTCTCCGCGGCGGAGTCGCCGTGCAGCCGCCGCGCGGTCGCCGCTGAGGACTCGTAGTGCGTGACGGCCTCGTCGGCGCGGCCGGTCGCCTCGCAGGTGTAGCCCAGGTACGTGTGCGCGAACTGCACTGCGTCGTTGTCGTCTGTCCCGTGGGCCTTTGGCGCGTCGGCTAGGATCTTGTGGAGGAGCTGCTCGCCTTCGGGGTAGTGCTCTGTCTCGAGGTAGAGCTTTGCAAGGGAGGTCATGCTGACGAGGGTTTCCTTGCGGCGGGCTGTCGTTGGCTCGTCTCCACCGGGTGCGGCGTTGGCCTTGTCGATGGAGCTCTGATATAGCTGCAGCGCCTCTTCAATCTTTCCGGCCTTCTCTTTGCAGCTGGCTAGGATGTAGAGGCATTCCGACACGATGTCGTTGGTTGATCCCGGGAGCTCCGTGCCGATCCGCAGGCAGCGCTCGGCTTCCACCGTGGCCTCGTCGACTCGCCCCGCCCGCAGCAGCGAGGCACACAGCATCTCTGCGGCCCGGAAAATTTTGGTATGCATCTCGCCATACGACGCTGTCAGTGTGTCCAGCATCCACCGCTGCAGGTCAATCGCCTCGGCCACCTTCCCGTCGTAGCACAGCGTCGAGGCGAGCTCCTCTGCGGACTTCAGAGTTGCGTCGTCGTCCTCGGCTAACCGGTCTCTGCACCCTTGCAGTGCCTCGCGGCCGTATCTCTCCGACTTGTCCATCTCGCCCAGACTCCTAAATGTACCGCACAGCAGGATCTTGATGTCGAGCACCTTCCGCACCTCGGAACCGTCATCACCGTCACCATCCGCGGCCAGCTGCTCCTGCCCATCCAGCGCCTGCTCCCGCAATATCGCCGCCTCGAGCCACCTCTCCTGCCTGCCCCGGCACTCAGCCAGCCCCAGCACAGCAGCAAGCGTGGAGGCGTGCCCCGCGCCCATGGTCAGCCTCAGCGCATCCACCAGCGCCTGCAGCGTCCGCCCCTCCTCCTCCCACATGCCGCGGGCCCCGTAGTGCGCCGCCAACCGCTGCAGCGCCGTCCGCGTGCAGTGCGACCTCTGCCTGCCGTGCCTCTTGGCGCACGATCCGACGATCCCGACGAGGATGGGCTCCGAGTCGTCGTAGCGGCCGTGCGCGTCGAGGGACGTCGCGCCGTCGATGAGAAGGTCGAAGGTCTGGAAGAAGTGATTGGTCTTGGCGTGCTCGAGCTGCGTGGCGAGGAGCTTGGCTTGCTCGCTTGCGGGGCCGTAGGCGCCGGTGGTGCAGTAGTCGTGCACTAGGCTGTTGCGGATGCTGATGTGGGAGAGGCGGTGGGCGTCGCTGAGACTGCGGGAGGGGGACTCGAGGAGGAACTGGTCAAAGAGCTGTAGGGCTAGCTCTTGTTTCGAGATGGCTTCCTGCACGTTGCCGAGGAATCGGTCGGTCAGGGCGACCTTGGCGGTGGCGATGATGGTGACGGGGTGCTTGACGCCGAAGGTGTTGAGGGCGTCGTTGGCGCGGCGGAGGCCGTACTCGTGCGCCTCTTGGAACTTGTCTCGCAGGCAGAGGATAATCAGGTGGTCCATGTAGGCCTCGTAGAGGTCTTCATGGTCGGGGGGTAGCTGAGCCTCCCGGCCCCGGAGGACCTGACCGTGCAGCTCTTCCGCCTCGTCGATCCTCCCCAGGATACCATAGATCTCGCAGATGCTGGTCATGGTGCGGAGGACTCTGAGGTCGCCCTCCCCGTACTCCTGCTTCTGCGTCTCGAGGACCTTCTCCAGTCTGGCTGCAATCTCCGCGGGAGATTCGCGGCCGTCGCCCAGAGACGAATCCATCTCCTCGCGGGTGAGCTTGATGTTTTCCATCCTTGCCTCCAGCTCGGATATCGCCTCCTGCTCCTGTGTCGACCCCGACGGGCCGGCCGTGTTGTCAACCAGGAAGTCCTGAATAGTGTCTGGATTATCCGGACCTTGAGAGACCTCCTCGACCATCCTGAGCTGGAGATAGTCCACCATCAGCCTCAGATTCTCCACATACGCCGGGTCCGCGCCGGCCTCCTCGAGGGTATAAAAGTCCTCCACGTACGCCGTGGGGAGCAGCTTCTCCCTGTCGCCCGTCAATGCGCGCATGCCCCCTCTCTCGATCAACTCGACCACCCGCCTCCGGTTCCCCAGCCCAGCCGCAACGTGCAACCTCGTCCGGCCATGCCCAGGGTCCGTCCTATCCAGCAACGCGAGAACCACCCCCTCAACACCCCTCCGCCACCCATCCACCGCCTCCTCGTCGCCCAGGTCCCCCCGCTCCACCCACACGGGACTCATCTGCGGGCGCCTCCCCACCGCCACGGCCATGTCCACGGCGGCGGGCATGCCATCCGGCGGCGTCGTCGCGGCGCCGGCCCGCAGCAGCGCGTGCGCCGCAGCCGCGTTGCCGGCGAAGCAGGCCATGTACAGCGGCGAGACGGCCGGGCCGCCCGAGTCTTTTTCGCTGCAGGCGACGTCGACGAGGGCGCGGACGCGCGGGTGCGAGAGCAGGTGCGACATGACGTGGGCGCCGTCGACGCGGGACAGCGAGTATGACGCGCGGTGCAGGATCGAGGAGCCCGTGCCGTCGGAGGAGACGAGGCGCGCGCCGCGGGCGATGAGCAGGTCGATTGTCTCGGCGTCGCAGGCGGGTAGCGAGATGGCGGCCTCGAGGGGCGTCTTGTCTTCCCAGGTGGCGTCGATGTCGGCGCCGCGGTCGAGCAGGAGGCGGATTGTCGAGGCGTTGTTGGGGACGCTCAGGGCGAGGTGGAGGAGCGAGAGGGGCTCGCCGTCCTCGATGACGGGGTGTCGGACGTCGAGCTGCTTTTCGGTCTGCTCGTCGTCGAAGGAGAGGATCGTTTGTACTAGACCTACCTTGCCTGTCTGAACCGCCGCGATGAGCAGCTGCGTGCTCAGCGGGAACAGACCGGCCTCGAGGAGGATGCGCGTGATGGTCTCCCCGGACCGCCCGTGCCGCATGGCGATGCAGCCCAAGACCACCCTCGCCGGCGTCTCGCCCTTGCCGAGGCGGGCGCCGCGGGAGATCAGGGCCTCGACGGCGGCGGCGCCGAAGTCGCAGGGCGAGAACCGCACCGCGTGCGTCAGCGCCGTGGAGCCCTTTGCGTCCTCGTCGTCGATGGCGCAGATGCCGGACGCGACGATCAGGTCGATGGAGGACTCGAGGTGGGCGCGGTGGGACCCGCCGTGGATGAGGAGCGGGAGGATCGGGCCCGGAGGGCGCGAGAGCTCGAATAGGCCGAAGGGACCCATCTCTGGGTGGCCGAGGGAGCGGTTGAAGCGGGCCTTTTCGGCGAACGAGGGTCGCGAGCGGCGGTAATCTAGCTCCAGGAGGATGAGCTGCGGGAGGAGGCCCGACAGGTTGAGGGACACGGCCAGGCCGAAGGTGACGTCCGTCCAGCCGATGCTCGTCAGCGGGTCCTTGAACTTGGCGGCGAACCCGGAAAGCTGACCGATGAGCAGTTCCACGACCGGCGCGCTGTTGGCGGCGATGGCGAACTCGAGGGGCGTCCCGCGGAGGCGGTAGTGTTGCATGTCTACCCCCGGGGCAGGGAGCGCGACCTGCAGGCTCGCCTTGCCGGCCCGCGTCGTGAGGAGGAGCTCCATTGCCCGCGCGGCCTGCTCGTCGGGGAACATGACCAGCCAGTGCGTCGCCGTGCCGAGGCGTCGGTACGCGGGCTCCGCCCCTACTGAGACGAGGAACTCGAGCATGTCGAGGTGTCCGCCGTGACAGGCTGCCGCGAGGAGGTCTTCGTCGTGTTCCCGGGATATGATCTTCCAATGCGCCTTCCCAGACGAGGGCGCTGGGAGGCCGAAGAGCAGCTTGATGAGGGGGAGTAGGCCCAGACGGGCGGCGACGTAGATGAGTAGACCTTGGATCGGGGTCTTGTCGGCGATTTGGGTGCGGGAGAGGCATTGGAGCTGCTCTGGGTCATACTTGTCCTCGTCAGCCTTGGCCTGGAGGGTCTTGTGGAAATCGGCATCGTCGAGAGACACGTCCGAGATGACTATCTCCCCTTTATGAAGGATGTCGTACCGACTCCCCAAGGCGTCTTGCTGGTGGAGCTTCTCCAACCGTCGAATCCGCTCGGCGAGGTAATCCTGGCTGTCGAGGCGTGCGAGGTCTCGCTCCATCTCGGCGATCGGGTGCGCCATCTCCCGCAGCGACGGGGGCAACTCCCGACCGAGAGCATCGTGCAGCCGGAAGACGAGTCCCAGCGCGTTTGGACTGCCGAGCTCGGCGGCTTCGATCAGCAGCCCCAGCCCCTTGTCCAAGTCCGCGACCTCGGTACCGAACCCGGCGATGGTGCACATTCCCAGATCATACAGGGCCGATCGCCGCTGGGCGTCCAATGTCGCCTCGTTACAAATGGAGTGGAGGAGTCTGACTAAATCTGCTTGGACGATTGGCGGCATCTGTGGCGGGGGTGCCTAACATAAGGGGTGGCGCGTAAGTCTATGCCCGGGAGAGAGATTGGGAGCTTCCGGGGGGTGTTACTTACTGAGTGTTCGGAGGTGTTGCCTCTGATAATAGTGGCACGAGGCAGTAAGTAAGGCGTCGGCCTATCCTTGTAGAACATATCGCTCCTACCAAGGGATCAGTCCGCTCACTTCTTGTCAATATAATAAATAGCTCATTCACTTACAGGACATCGTCATCGTGAAATGCCGTTTGGCCCCGGAAAATCTTGATGATCTCCTCCGAGGTCTTCCTGTCTTTCGGATCGTCCCTCAGGGTTGCCTGTAAGAGGGCCCTCAGCATCTGGACCAAGGCTGCATTGTCCTTGTCATGCCTGCTCTCCAGTGAAGTCAGAGCCCGAAGGAGAAGCTCCTCTTTGGGCAAGTCATTGAGCTTGTAAACCATCTGGTCACCGCCGTCCTCGTCGCTGATGACGTCGCCGAGTGTCTTGCAGAAGCGTGCGCCGTCAAGGATGATCTCCCACACGAGCAGGCCGTACGAGTAGACGTCGCACTTGTAGGCACCATCTGCGTCGACCAGGTTCGATATGGGGGCCTCGAGGTCTAACCTCGGTCGCACCTCTGGCGCGTTCAGCAGCGGAGTGCCGAGATACCGCTGGTTCTTGGCGCCGGCCCTTTTGAGGTCGACCAGCGCGTGGCCCAGGTCGGACAGCTTGGCCCTGAAGCTCCGATAGTCACCGTGGAACACGAGCGTGTTTTCCAGCTTGACGTCTCCGTGGGCGATTCCGCAGCGGTGGAGGGCGTCGAGCCCGCCCGCGATGTCGTGCATGAGGTGCGCTTTGGTGAGGAAGTCCAGCTGGCGGCCCTTGTCGCTGGCGAGGAAGTCCTTGAGGGTTCCGTGCGGGGCAAATTCCATGACCAGCGAGACATCGGTGCTCTGACGAGGCGGCCCGGCAGTGGGACCCTCGTCCAGGCCGAACTCGGAACGGTAACCGAGAAGGGAGACGAGGTTCGGATGGCGCCGGAGGGGCCGGTGGGTGAGGATGCGGAGCTCTTTTAACACGGTGGCGACGGAGACCTGCAGCGCCGCGGAATTCCGTTGTGAGGAAGCGGCGCCATCCCTGAAGATATTGAGCCTCTTGACGGCGACGGCAGCGGGCTTGTCTGGCTCGTCGGACCCGGGCTCGTCGCCGGACCCGTGTTTCGCGGCAAGGGTGTATTTCTCGACGCTGTATGACGTGCCCGAGCCGAGCTCGGTGGGCACGGCATTCCACGAGCGTCCAAAGTCGGTCGGCTTGAAGTGCTTGAGCTTCTTGCCGGCCTTGTCAGGAAGATCCGAGATGATGTCGTCATCCTCGCTCAAGCTAATGAGATAATGCCAGACATGGAGCGGGCCGAGCCTTGGCGGTGGCTTATCCGCATCGGTGAGGCTGCCTGGAGGAAGTGTGACCTGGGACGAGGAGTTTAAGATGGTGCGCACATCCCAGAGGATGGAAGTCATCGTCGCTGTTATGTTAGTAAGATTCTAGCTGAGAGCTCCATGCAGACGACTGCGGGCACACACGCTGCTGTGGTGCCTTATTAGATTTCGAACGCGATCATCGCCGCTTTGCATGAACGACAGTTTGGGAGGCGGCCTCTCCTTCCCTGTCCTCTTCTCCACGAGCTGATGGTCAGGCAGGCTCAGCCGCAATCTCGCCCGCCAGGGCTGACTGGGGGTTGCATGCAAGGGTGTCCAATAGTTGCCGCACGGGCGGGCTGACAGGGGAGCAACCTGCTTCACGGGCCATTATTGGCTGACCCCGCGCCCAGACCGGGCTATGCGATGTATTCGTTACTCAAACTTGGCCAGCCAAGACATCGTCCCCCAAGAATAATAGGTTGTCGGCTTTACGGCGTACGCTGGACCATCTTTGAGCGAATCTCCGACAAATCCTTTTGCTGCAGAACTCCGTCGCGCCACATAGCAGCCATGGAAGCTGCGGGCCTCGTTCTTGGCGCCATCGTGGTGGTCAAGCCCATCTGCAGCTCCATTCACGAAACCCTGTCCAGCTACCAAGCCTTCGGCCGGGATGCCGAGCGTCTGCGACTCCGCTTCGCCGTGCAGCAGACACGCCTCGACTCGTTCGAGCGCGTCCTCTTCGAGCGCGGCAAGTTCGCGCCCGCCATGCCCGGCCGCCTGATCGACCACCTGCCCGAGATGACGTGCGCCGACGTGCTCGCCCTCCTCAGGCAGCTGTACGGCGTCCTGCTCGAGTACGCGGCTGTGCGGGCGCAGTACGGCGCAAAGGACCGCGCCGACGCCGCTGCCGTTACCGAAAAGGGTCTCATCGACGAACCGCTGTCGGCCGAAGACCGCATCAAGTCGCTGACCCTCGACGGCAAGAAGGCCGACGCGGCGCAGCAGAGGTCGGTCAGCTGGGCGCGCAAGATGCTCTGGGTCGCCTTCGACAGGAGCAGCACCGAGCGGCTGGTGGGCGAGTTCGAGGGCTGGGCCGAGCGCACCCAGGTCCTCCTCGAGGCCGCGTGGTGGCCGCTGTCCTTCTTCGAGACGGTCGAGCGCATGCGCAGGCTCGAGGACGACGCCGACGCAAGGTCGGTCGGCCTGCTCCGCGGCATCGGCCTCCGCAAGCTGCTCGCCTCGGCGCCCGCCGCCGTGCCCGCTCAGAGCCGCGCCACAGAGGCCGTCGCTGCAAACTTCACCGTCGCTGAATTAATTGGCGCTTTCGAACTCGGTCGCTTGGAGGAGGCCGGCTGGCAGGAATGTCTCGTCGAGTACAAGCAGTACGCGCGAGCTGGCGGGAGTGGCGCTGTGGGCGACGACGTCGCCAGGCAGAGGGTCATCCAGCTCGCGGGACTGCTGAACGAGGCGCCCGCGTCGGACCCAGAACTGAGGGTCCTGCAGTGCACCCATTATTTCGAGGATACCAAGAGGTTGCGGTTCGGGCTCGTCTACGCGCTTCCGACGCAGTGCGACGGCGACGGCGACGAGAAATTGACGACGAGGAGGCCGCCTGTCACGCTCGCAACCTTGCTTGATGCCGTGTATGCGGGCCCACGGCCCTCTCTCGGCGCCCGGATGCGGCTTGCGCATAAGATTGCGCTGTGCCTGCGGAGGTTGCACGCGTACTCGTGGGTGCACAAGTCGTTGCGCGGGGAGAACGTGCTCTTGCTTCCTGCCGTCGACGCGTCTGCAGGAGATATGCTTGCTTGCTCCTTGGAAGAGCCAAGGATCGTCGGGTTTGAATATGCGAGGCAAGAGTCCGATTTCTCGGACCAGTTCGGCGAGGCGGAGATCAAGCGGAATATATATCGGCACCCGACTCGATGGGGACAACCTACAAATCGATTCGAGAAAGTCCATGATATCTACGGTGAGTGACATGACGGCATTAAAACCATATGCGTATCATATATAGCTAACGGGCCCGCCCCCACACAAGCCCTCGGTGTGATCCTCCTCGAGCTCGGGCTCTGGGCTCGTGCCGACCAACTCGACAAGGGTCTTCTCGTGTCGGAGGCAATGGCCAGTGATCCGGCGGCCGTGAAACGGAAGCTGGCCAAGCACGCAGAGGTGCGGCTGGCCTTCTATGCTGGGGACCGGTTCCGCAGTGTGGTTATCGGGTGTCTCACTGGGTCGTGGCGGGAGAGGCCCGTGGTCGAGGCTTTTCCTGACATGGTTGCGGAGTTGAAGATGATCGCGGCGGAGCTGTAATGTTAAAGCTAGTGTTTGAATAACTGTTACAAATCCTCAGACACTGTACATGGTTGAAAGCGGGGGGTAAAAGGAGACGAGGCAGTAATTATTCCAAGGCCCAAGGCATGGGCTAATTACTGATCCTGGAGCCAGGGGTCTTTCATCAGTTCCTTGGCAGTATATCTGTCTTCAGGCCGCCATCTCAGCATGTTCCTGATGAATGTGAGGAATGCTATCTTCCCGGTTCCTTCCAAGACAATCTCCTCATCTTCCAGCGTGGTGTTGAACTTTTGTTCTCCCTTCAAATTTCCTGGGAAGAATCAAAATCGGGTTGTTTTATCTGGTATATGTTTGTGCTTCAAACTCACCGTCCTGATCAAAGAACTTGTCGGAAATTGAACCTCTGGCGAGCAAATCCGCTGGCGGAGGCCCGAGAAGAGAGACCATCTTTGCGAGGTGGGCGGCCCTGGATTCTGGTCGACTCGGCAGCCGTTCGTTGAATAGATGCTTGCCCTCGAATAAATCCCAGACCTATGTAGTAATTACTGTTAGATGAGGAGAGCGGAGATCGGTGATTACGGATCTGGAAATGCAGGTGTGGCTTAATTACCAGAAGCCCAAGGTTCCAGATATCAATCATTGCATCCCATGAGATGCCGAGGACGATCTCTGGCGCGCGGTAAAGATCTGGCATGACCTCGCCTTGAAAGGGACCCTTCCCAATCCTGGCGTCGCCGAAATCGCAAAGAATCGGTTCGCCAGGATCGTCGGGCATTTCCATTTCCATGGATGTGTATATCACTCGATTGCCATCAATCTTTCGGGGGCCGGGATGTCTCTGTTCTTCGTCCACAATTTCGTCCAAAATCGAGGTATCCGTAATTGAGAGCATGATGTTTCCTTCTTGGATATCTGTTCATGATTAGATATGATTCTCTCAAAGCTTAACGTGTTGCGTAGATTTGTACATACCAGTGTGAACCAAGTCCGCCTCGGAATGGAGAAAATCCAAGGCCAGCAACAGTCCGTAGACCATTGGTTTAAGGAGAGATTCGGGAAGCTGGCCCCCAGCCATATTCCGAATATCACCCAAGGTGATGCTCAGTGGGTTGTGCACCAGACACGTGTGAGGACCGAGTTCGCCGGGAATTTCGAAGACTTCACGCATTCTCCGCACAAGTACTTCTCCTGGATGGCTGGACTTGACACAGTCCAATCCCTCCAATACCTTAGCCTCATTCAACGCCTGGCGGTGACCTGTCATGTACACTTTCAAGGTAACATATTCGTGCGTGCGGAGATGGGGTGTTCTTGGAGGGTGACTGCGACATGTTCGGGGTGCAGAACAGAGTGTACGAGGTTGCAATGGGCTCAGAAATGAATTTGGGTGGGATTTGGTGACGTACGGCAAAAGGTAGAGAGGAAAACCATGTCCAGCTTCCATAGAGGAGGTTCCGGAACAATCAACGCATGACTAATCATCAAAAAAAGCTGAAATCATGGGTAGGTAGGTATCAACAGGAGGTGATTCACTTCTGGGTAGGTTGATATGTTCCATCCCGGTCGCACCAGGACAAGGGTTGATAAACAAGTTAAGTGGCATGGTATAGCAACCAACACAGGTCACCGAGTGGTGTAATGGTCAAATGCGATGCTGACCGTCGCGCCTATCGACAGCCACCTCTGGGTCCGTTCTGAAGGCAGGCGATCCTTACACCACTCAAATTTCTTTCTTTCTTCTTTTTCCCCACAATTCCAAACCTTTGGCAATAATTGACCTCCATGACCAAATGTAAAGATATCCATGCCAGTTCTTACAATTACTGGGCTACGGGAAGTCGTATATCAAAACGCCGCGCCAAATTCCGCCCTCACCACGTTACTGTTTTCAGTACGTAGTCATGGCGATCTTGTCTACATCCAATATGCTCTGTCAGTTTTAAAACAAAATTATCCGCCTCCCACTTCCCCGCGTCTTCCCTTGACATGGTGTAGCCGACGACCTGGGACTCGTCTTGCGGTCCTCATGCCGACCCAGCTGGCGCGGACCATAGTGTTGGCCTCCCCGCTTGCCACCAAGAAGTCCTCCATGATGATCTTGTCCTGGTGCAGAACCTCGCCCATGATGTGGTATTATATTGGCACCATGTGCCGCCGATGGTGGAGATGATTTCTGTCATGTCCTTGAAGCTGGACGGCAACTGGTGTATTTTATCTTCAATCCAAGGTACGCGTGTCTAGTGGGCGTCTCCTTTCTAAATACTACGCGTCCAGTGAGTTTCTACAATCTCGCGGTTTTCTCGCTCGATGCCATGGAGTCGAGGTAGAGTTGCCCCAGACCGGGGCTGAAATGTCGCTATTCTCTAGGCTGTTGAGCACGCTAGGCTTTTTTCAGCAAGCGTGCTCACATCTCCACGCAGAATCGCGCAATCAAGCTCCCCTCGACACGTGCAAAAGGGACAATTTTATCGCAGGGGATAAAACAGCTGTTAGCAAGCAATAACAGCGCAATCGCAAAGCAGTGGCAATACGTATAACATTGCTGTCTAATTACTGCTCGGCTCTAGCCATGTCTCAGGCGCCGCCTGGTGCGACATCGGCCGCGACCCCTCATGGAGGCAATGTGGGCGCCTCGGCTTCAGGCTCCGAGAAAAACGCGAGGCCGAAGGTGCGCAGCTGTGTGGTGTGCAGGAGCCGCAAGGTCCGCTGCGACAAACAGTCGCCATGCTCCAACTGCCGTCGGGCGAACATCCCCTGTGTTTTTCCGGCCACCGACCGCCCCCCGAGGTGGGCTCGCCGCCTCGACCTCATCGCAAACAAGGCAGCAGCCAATGCAGCGAACCCCCAGGCTGCCCAGGATGCCGACCCTGGGGTTAGCCAGGTCATGGAGAGACTGCGCACTCTCGAGGGCCTCGTCAAGGAGCTGACCGGCCAGCTGGAGCAGGCACACGCCGCCGCCAACTCTGCGAGCGGTAGCAACGCTCCGTCTGATTTCAGCCCTCTCGGGAACTTAGCGCACGGCCGTGACACAGAGAAACAGCCGGATGTGCCTCTCCCCACGAGCACTGGAAATGTGCAGACGCAGTTTGGGAGGCTGGTCCTCCACGATGCCAACCGTAGCCGCTATGTCAGCAGCGGTTTCTGGTCGCGCGTCAACGACGAGGTACGCTGACCGCTAACCTGCTATGGTAGATGAAGTCTTTGGTCGAGGCTGGATGGCTAACGGTTCTCTCCATAGCTTAATGGGCTAAAGATGGACACCCGCTCTCTTGCCCTGGACGACTCGGAGAGCTCCGGGGATGAAATGTCGCCCGAGAAGACTCCATCCACCCAAGAACTCGAACGCACGCCTTCAGAGCGCCATGCATTCTTGTTTCGCCATAACTTGGGGCCCGCAGCCCCTAACCTCCGGGAGTTCCATCCTCTACCCTCGCAGATACCCTTTATCATAAATGTCTTTGCGGAAAACGTGAATATCATCCAGATGGTGCACGTTCCGACCATCACAAAGATGGTCCGTGATTTGCGCGTCGGCGACATGGCAAGACTCACACCGGCCAACGAGGCTCTATTGTTCTCATTATACTATGCGGCCATAACATCCATGGAGGAGGACGATGTGAGTTTGTTCTTTGGGCTCCCATACCCGAATCCAGACACGATTATTAGACAGGAGCGGTTCTGACCTCATGCGTCCAGATCGTGACCAACTTCGGCGCCACCAAAACCGAGCTCAATCTCAAATATCGTCTCGGCCTGGAGCATGCCCTTGCCAAGGCCGACTTTCTCAGCGTTCCTGACATAGTTCTAGTGCAAGCATTCGCCATTTTCCTCCTCCTTGTTCGCCGCCACGACAGCCCGAGGTTCGTGTGGATGATGACGGGGCTGGTCATCCGGATGGCCCAGGCCCTAGGGCTACACCGCGACGGAGCCCATTTCGAGACCTTGACCCCTTATGAGGTTGAGATACGGCGACGCGTTTGGTGGGGGTTGTGCGTGCTCGATGTGAGAGCATCAGAGGACCAGGGGATGGATCTCACCATCACCACGGGCAGCTTCGACACCAAGCTTCCCCTGAACATCAACGATGCTGACATTGAGCCCGGGTCAAAGGTGGTGCCTACAGAGCGGGAGGGCCTGACTGACATGTCGTTTGCCCTCACCACGTTCGAGATTTGCCAGGTCACGCGGCAGATGATGGCTCTCGCCGTCAAGGACGGGGCAGCGGGCCTGGACGAGCAAGAACGCCTGCTGAAAGAGATTTACCAGAAGTTTGAACGGGGCTACTTCCAATACTCGAGTCTCGAATCAGGCAACATCATGTTATGGGTCGGGGCCACCGCCACACGGCTCGTCATATCCAAGATGACCCTCATCGTCTACCTCCCAGTGCTCTTCTCTTCCCCGAGCGAGCACTTCTCGGACGACATCAGGGACAAGCTGTTCGTCGCGGCGATCGAGGTGGCCGAGTATAACCACGCCCTGAACGCCGAGCAGGAATGCCGCCACTGGCGCTGGCTCTACCAGACCTACACCCACTGGCACGCCATCGTCTACCTCCTGATCGAGATCTCCCGACGTCCCTGGTCGCCCACCGTCGAGCGCGCCTGGGTTGCGCTCCACAGCCGCTGGCTGATCCCTGCGCAGCTGAGCACAGACAAGAACCTTCGCACCTGGGTGCCTCTGCGCAAGCTGATGGCCAAGGCCAGGAAGCATCACGACGCGGAGCTCGAGCGCCTGCGGAGCGATTCCCACGCCGCCGAGCGCCTGGAGGCGGAGGACCGCAAGATGCCCCTGCCTGGGAGTCCCGGGCCGTTCCCCGCGGGAGCCAATGTTGTTGAGTTGTTTCGGGAGCGGTGGCGCCAGCTTGTGGCGATGCCCGAGCGACCTGGGGATGGCGCACAGACGTCTGGGTATCCAGGAGAAGGTGCATCCACGGTGGATTCTGTCTACACAAGCCAGTCTGATATGGGCTCTATCCCAGGGTATTCTACTGGCGGTGTGAGCTCTAGCGGGGCACTTCAAGCAGCCCATCTTGGTGTTACTGGACAACAACCAGACCCGAATCTGGTGAATTCCACGTCGTCGCCGTGGGGACCAAATATCACTGCCACCGCTCCCGGCGAAGTGGCATCGGGGCAGACGACTGTCGGACTACTAGATTGGTCAGATGGTCGGACCATGGGTCCAGGCTTCGTCCCCTGGCTGTGGGCTGATTCCGATCCGTCCGCCGACGTTTTCGCCAATGTCAACGTGGACGCACTCGATTTGGACATGGACTTGGATGGCGAGGTGAACTGGCATAACTGGGTTGAATCTGCCAGGGGTATGGAGTGGGATGTTGGGCCAGGTGGCGGTGGGCAAGCCTAGATGGGCAGCTGACGCCCCGAAGCCAGGCAGGAGAACAAAAAGCAGTCCGTGGATCATCACCGACGTCGATCGTCAGACTACGTGAAGTCAGGGGCATAGCCAATGTAACCCCAGATACGGAAAATTACAGGACCCTGGAAATTGATCTGCGTGCCCCCGGAATGGATCCGCGGGCCGTCGCTCAGAGCCAACGATCGCCAGACCCGCACGAGCTAAATAAGGCGAGAAGCAAGTATGGATATAAATCTGGGTGAGGCCCTTCCAGAGATCCCTGCATATGATAGAGCCAAACTCCCGAACTCGATGCACATGAAGTCTGCTGCCATTGTCGGCCTCGCCCTAGCGGCTACGGCCCAGGCTACAGTCCAGGGCTTCGACATCTCCGACTCTCAGCCGATTGTCGACTTCGAGGCCGCTAGAGACGGCGGCGCGCGCTTCGTCATTATCAAGGCATGATCTCCCTCTCCGACAAAGCCCCTCAAGGTATACTTACCAACTCAACAGGCCACCGAGGGAACGAACGACATCTCACGTACCTTCTCGTCGCAGTACGAAGGCGCCTCCAGCGCGGGCCTCATCCGCGGCGCGTACCACGTCGCCCACCTAGGCGAGACTCCCGGCGCCGTGCAGGCCTATTTCTTCGCCTCACACAGCGGCGGCTGGTCGGGCGACGGCATCACGCTGCCGGGCATGCTGGACCTGGAGTCCGGGCTGGGCGCGGCCCAGTGCTGGGGCCTGTCGCCGGGCGACATTGTGGCGTGGATCATGGACTTCAGCGACACCTACCTGGCCTCGACGACGCGGTACCCGATGATCTACACAAGCCCGTCCTGGTGGCAGACGTGCACGGGCGACTCGGACGCCTTTGCGAACACGAACCCGCTCGTGCTGGCGCACTATGGCGGCTCGGTCGGGCCCATCCCGGGTGGTTGGCCGACTTACGCTATCTGGCAGTACTCCGACTCGTATGCGTACGGCGGCGACGCTGACCTCTTCAATGGCGAGGAGTCTGACCTCCACGAACTTGCAACGGGCTAGATCGTGGGACTGCTAGGGGAGAGATCGAAGGCTTTTAGACTACTCGTTGATAAGTGGAACACGCCACGAAGTGGGAAGGATGCCTGGTTTATTTGACAAAGTGTCGGTCTGATGATTTGTCTTCCGTAACTAGAAAACCGTTCTAAACGAATAATGGAATACCATGTCCTGTCTCACAATAGCAGTCTATAGAAGACAATGCCGCCTTCTCGTCATCACCACCGTTGTCGCCGTCTTTGGGTATCGACATCCATTCCCGTGTCGAGAAAACACATCCCCTCATTCTTCCTCGTCGTCATGGTCGGGGTCGAGGTGATCACCTAGCTCGAAATCGCGAGGGTGATCATACAAGCCGCTCCCTCTGTCTGCTGCCAGAGCTGCCTCCACTGCCCCGTGGAGCACGACACGGGCCGGGATCACGTATGGATTCGCTTTCACCCCACTATTGGTTGACGCAGACCATGTCGAGGAGTACCTCACCTGGGAAGGTTAAGCCAGACCTGGAGGATCTGCTAACCAATGACACCTAGAAGTCTCACGTATAAGAGTGGTGAATCTGAGAACAGCTCTTGGCCCTAGGGCAGAAAAATACGCTGTATACAGTATCACAGCAAGAAATCACAATCCATTTGGTTTCTCAGACCCGATATCAAGTTTTATCCACAATCTAGATGAGAGTGAACTCTTTCTCTGGCTCGTTCGCATTCCCGCCGTCCATGAGGCCATGCACATAGCAAGCCCCCACAAGCTCGAACCGTTCCGAAACCCCCCCCGCGACCTTTTTCCTCCGCAAGATGAATGGCATGCGAGCGCCTTTCATGATACAGATAACGTCGCCTTTCTTGGCATGCGGCGGCACGACAGCCATCCGGCCCCGTTCAGTGACGATAAATCGTCGCCCGTATACCTGACAGAAGTACAGAAACTCTGCCTTGGTCGCCGAGACTTGATAGAAGCGTTGCAAGAGGGCAGGATGCTCAGATTTAGAGAAGGAAAAGTTCTCGCCCATGGATTCCGACTGCCGAATCCGTTGCTGGATGAGGAGCTGTTCCGTGGGGTCGATCGTCAAATCCATCCAGCAGGCGGTCAGGAATCGCCGGATGAGGCCCGCCCTTTGTGGTTGCAACGGGTGCGCCCATTTGAAGAGATAGGAGTACTCTTTTAGACTGCTGTATTTCTTCTGGCACTCCTCCGTCGTCGGCGGGCGGGCAGGGACGGAGATGCGGTCCCCCAGCAGCGTCCGCACGAAACTCTCCCGAGGGCTCTGTTCGCCGTACGGGGTCGCGTGGCGCACGGCCATGGTTTCGGCCACCGCATACCAGGATCGCTGTATGTCGTTGCTTCCTACCGGGTCCGTCCCGGCGCCGACTTCCAAAGGCTCGGTGAGGTGCTCGAGGCGGTCGTCGAGATCCCATCCCTCGACGGTGATGGTGGTGGGGTCGGAGTCGCAGAACCTGACCACGGGGCGGTGATGCGATCCCGCGCTGTACGAGTCGTAGGCGCGTGGCGGCCGGTGCCGATTCCACTCCGAGACCCAGGACGGCAGGCCGCCCACGACAGGCTCGCCGCCGTACCCCGTCCCGGCAAAGGCCATGAGATCCAGCGAGGAGCCGGCGCGCTCGAGGACGTCGCGCATGGTGCGGATGTAGAGCACCGCGGGCTCGACGGCGTAGTCCGGCGCGAGGGGTCTCTCCTCGAGGACGTTTGCCAGCGCGTAGATGCGGTCCCGCGGGTTCTGGCAGCCGAAGGCGACGCAGCTCGACAGCGCCTCCCCGAGGGTGAAGACGCGGCCGTGGTCGGCGTCGCCGCGGAACTCGACCATGATCTCTGCGTTCTTGATCCCGTGCCAGTGAGGCCCGCCGGAGTGGGCCGTGGCGAGCCGCAGCCGGCCCCCGGGAAGGCCCAGGCCTTGCTTCTTGTAATGCAGCTCCGCGAGGAAAGATTGGACCTGGTGAGCGGAATCGGAGGGTCCAAGCCAGGCGACCACCCTCCTGGCCGACTGGTAGATCCTCCCTCACTTCAAGCTACTTCCTGCCGCGGTCTCAGCCACCGGTTTTTCCAGACCCCGAGCGTGGGGTGCCCGGGATTCTATTAACCCGGGCCTTCGGGGCGTACCTAACACCCTGCACAAACACGGATCAGCAGTCTGATGGTCCGAGACGAGGCGGCGCTCTTTTTGCGGCAGGATGTGGTCTTTCTTGGGGCGGCGGAATGCCGCTGCGACCGGCGCGGGGATCGAGCAGGACCTACCGGAGGCCTCGACCACGAAGACCTTTCCCTCCGGCATCAAGCTGCTCTACAGCCCCGCCAGCCCCGCCGACGCAATCGTCGAGTACGTGCACTTCTGCTCCAGATTAACCCAGCCAACTGACACTCTCGCAGCATCGTCTTCATCCACGGCCCTCGCGGCGACCTCGAGAAGACCTGGAGCGTCCAAACTCCCGACCGCGCGGGTCCTCACGTTCGGATACGATGCATACGTGTAGTCATGGTAAACTGAGTACTGCCATTGCCGACGAGATCATCGCCCCCGAGGAGCCTGAGAGCTCGTCCACCGTGATGGCACGCATCTCGTGCCGCAGGCGGAGGTTCTCGGAGGTCGAGGAGCTCGGTCATTCTTGTCGGGTCGGCTTTCTTGTGTGCCCAGCCTTCGGGGGCGAGATTGTGGGCGGGGCCGCGGCCGCGGCTGTCCATTCCCAAGAGTCGATTGCACGAAACCCCGTTCGCGGTGATGGTGGTGCCTGCATCTTCGTCATGGGAACCAAGCCATCTGGCAAACCATGCCCTGACGCCGAAGTGGTCGGCTTGACGCTGCTGCTGCTGCTCCTTTGGCTGTGCCCGGACCTGTTTGGTGTCGCTCGACTGGATGACAACAAGCATACAGTCCTGCCTTTCAGCCGCAGCATCGAGCATCTCAGGCCCAGACGATCCAGCTCGGTCATGGCCATTTCAAGCGAACCCCCGTCGGCGACGGCAGCTCGGTCTGCATACGCGGCATCACAAACGATGGTGGTGGATGCGGCAACATCGGTCTGCTAACAATGAGCTATTCTGCGCTGTCGTCGTCGTTGTCGTTGTGATATGTGGTAAGTTGCTGCTGATTCATGACTTGCTGTGCCGGTACGAGAGATTCCGAATTGCGGCATCTCGCTTGGACAAGCGTCAAGTTGTCATACCCCTCAAGGGGGGACTCGGACTGGATGCCGGACTTCCTTGAAGCAGCGACTAGGGCCGAGGACGACCCCCGCGTGGGCCGGGGTTTCTCCACTCCCACCCCCGACCAACAGCAGCCGGCTCGTCGCTGGGGCGAAAAGTGTAGTAGTCACTCACGGGGGGGGGGGGGGGGGGGGGGGGGGGGGGGGGGGGGGGGGGGGCCCCCGGGGGGGCCCGGCGCCGGCGGCGAGGGGGGTGCAGGTGGGGAGGAGGATGATGCTGACGTCGGCGCGGCGCAGTGTATCTGGCTGGCGCGGGTGCGGCCCGAG